ACTGAATGAAAACCCTTGATGCAGTTTTCAGTGTCTTTTTACTTCTGCTTCACATTTCTGCTTTACTGTATTCTATTCATCAGTTTAAGAGTTGGACAAGCCATACATTTACCTTGTTTAAAGCTTGTAACCCAGATCAGATCGGTGTTTTTTCACAAGATCTTTTAAAGAAAAAGCTTTCAGCCAGCATCAACTCTCTGAGAAGCAGTCCTAGGACAGATTCCTTGACCATTATAACGACTGTAGTTACTACAATGCCAGAGATCTTTGGTTCTAGTACAGTAAATATTCCAAATAAACCATTTAAGATGTGTTCTGTCTCTCTCTGTTCTCTTCATTTGTTTCTCCGTCCAGGCTCAAATGAAGGACTACCAGAGGGAGCTTGAGGATTCTCACGCTGCACGGGAAGAGGTGCTGTCCTCTGCTAAGGAGAGCGAGAGAAAGGCAAAGAGTCTGGAGGCGGAGCTCATGCAGTTACAGGAGGTGATATGACAGATTTCTGACATGGTAAAAATCTCTGTGCAATCAGAGGATTCTTAGTAACTGGAAGAAGCAACTCTAATCCATTTCCAGGACCTGGCTGCAGCTGAAAGAGCACGGAAGCAGGCAGAGGCTGAGAGAGAAGAACTTTCTGATGAGCTGGCAAGCAACTCTTCTGGAAAGTGGGTTGAATATTCTAGCTTTCATTTTATTTGTGAGGTAAAATGTGAGAAGATGACATTTTAATACCTGCTTTCAGTCATTAACATACAAACCACATGTTGTAAATAAACCCCAAGAGTTACTTCAACATTTAATTTCCCTTTTAGATCAAGAAAGTATAATTGAATCGAATTTCCGTGCCATTTGTCCATTGTTATAGATCTGCATTGGCGGATGATAAACGCCGTCTTGAAGCCAAGATAAGCCAGTTGGAGGAGGAGCTTGAGGAGGAGTCGAGCAACATGGAGATCCTCAACGACCGACTGAGGAAGAGTGGCCAGCAGGTGCTGCAGTCGGAGAAGCTCCTCGAATAACAGCGTAATGAAACTGGCAGCCTTCAACATTAACTCTGGATGTATTTCTTTTTCAGGTGGAGCAGCTGCAGAATGAGCTGCAGGCAGAGCGCACCACCTCTCAGAAGAACGACAGTGCCCGGCAGCAGATGGAGCGCCAAAATAAGGAGCTGAAGGCCAAGCTGCAGGAGATGGAGAACCAGGTCAAGTCCAAGTTTAAGTCCTCCATCACTGCCTTGGAGGCTAAGGTGGCACAGTTGGAGGAACAGCTGGAGCAGGAGAATAGGTGAGGAGCAAATAAAATAATTGTGTATTGCTTCCGAACATGAGCTGATTTGTTTCATTTTTATGTCATCTTAGAGATAAGCAGGCTAGTGCCAAAAACATGCGCCAGAAGGACAAGAAGCTCAAGGACCTGATGATTCAGCTGGAAGATGAAAGAAAACAGTCAGAGCAATACAAAGATCAGGTAAAAATGCAAATTCACTTGTGCTGGAGGCATGCAGTATCTATTGTGGTCATTGCTGCCATATAGAGAAGACCATCTGCAATAAACCATTCAATCAGCTCAGTTGTTTAGTCATTTCCTGCTAGTATCATTTTAAATGTTAACATTTAATGTGCTACTTGAGGCGTGCTGATTGTGAGTTGTAGCTGTGGGGTGTTAGGCTCTCACAATAGATCTTGATGGGTCAATGTGTTGGGTAGTTAATTCACAGGAAGATTGGCAATCTTTCTACATGCTTACACTGAACTTTTCTTTCTGTGTATTAGATGACTGACTTGAAACCAAAAGAAAGTATAATAAATACTTTATTTTTGCCATGGCTTGGTTCACACAAACAAGCAACAGCCCTACAGATAAAAAGCCGTGTTCTCAGTTAGATGATCACTTCTGTTAATCCACCAGGCAGAGAAGGCAAATACTCGTATGAAGCAGCTGAAGAGGCAGTTAGAGGAGTCAGAGGAGGAGTCTCAGCGCGCCACAGCTGCCCGCAGGAAGCTGCAGCGCGAGTTGGATGAAGCCACTGAGGCCAATGATGCCATGACCCGTGAAGTCAGCTCCCTCAAGAACAAACTCAGGTAGGTGATGTGTTGTTTCTGCTCCTCATTGTTTATTTTGCCCTAAGTACCTTTAAAAAAATCAGTTTTACTGCCCCATGCAAACATATTCAAAACCCTAAATTAATTTAATATTCTGTCACATTTTTAGAAACTTGAATGTATTTTGTTTGGGTTTTACAAGGTACATACTAAGTAGAACCTAACTGAAATTGGGAGGAGAATGGGGCCCGGTTACAAAATAAAACGTAAAAAGTGTGGCTTGTAAATACACCCATGAGCCCGGTTTGTGAGGTCTCTACTAGCTTTGCCTATTTGGTGACTAGACTGGGCAGATTAGAGACTAAAACCAGGCACTATGCTTCCTGAAACTAGATTAGGCACAGTCTGATTGGATGGAGAGCATCGCTGTACTAAGATTCTCAGGACTTTGGCTAGGCCATTCTAATAAGTAGTACTTTGATCCAAGCACACCATTTTGGCTCTGGAAGTTCAACATCCTCCTATCTTTTAAGACTTCCCTCCAGCCACCTACATTCATTTCCCCACAGCCATCAGCTGCACACTTCAGAATTTTCTTTGACACAAAAAAGGATTTAAAACTATGCATCATTATCCTCCAACTTTAGTTATGTACTACTTTCATGTGCATAAAAGCCCATAATGCATATATTTAAATGTGTGCTAAACAGAACAATTATGAAAATGTTCAAAGAATAAACCTGTAGATTATATATTGGTTTTGCAGTTTTACTTAAATACCCAAATAGTTTGAGCATTTTGAAATGGTTTAGTTTGTTAAACACTTTTTTAAGAATCTTTGTGTTGTACTGAAGAATGCTGTTAAGGACCTTGTTCAAGTCCTTCAGAGTGCATCTCACTTTACAATTGGCCAGTTTGACTATAAAGTGACTCTTCACTACAAACATTACAGGATATTAGAATCCATGTTTCTATATTTGCTGAGTAGAAGCAAAACAATCCTGTCCATCTCTATTACAGAGGCAACCCTGAGCCTAAGGAGTAACACAGCAGGTACCTCTGCATTCAAAGTTGCCCATCACCATTTCTCATTTATTTACAGTCTTTTCATCCTCCATGCTCACTCTAAATGCTCTTATTTCTTCCATTGAGCCTAACTGAGGGAAATATGGCTCATCTATTTCAAGAAAAAAAAAATCTTGAAACTATATTGTTTAGTTTTAATCAATCCCCTATTTCTGATGGCCATCTTTCACTCAGTGCTTGGTTTAAGTGTCATAAACCAAACTCATTTTCCTGAGGAAGGACTTAAATGAGTTACAAAGATAACCGGCGTGCTTTAGCAGTAACCGAAGCACAATCTGTTTGTTCTGCGTCTCATTGATCCTCCTTGCAGTGTGCAACACATGACTGGGTTTTACACAAAATCTAATGAGTACAGGCGTCATTGCGCTCCTCTCACTGTGCTGTGTTTTTGTATGTGTCTTTCTCGTGCCTTTATGCCTCTGTGGCGTTTTAGACGTGGAACGGAGCCCTCCTTCAGCAGCGCACCACGGCGTATGGGTGGAGGCCGAAGGGTGGTTGAAGACGCCTCGGAGGAGGAAGGAGATACCCAAAATGACTTCAATGGAACCAAGTCCTCAGAATAAGATATTATGGAAATCAGGTGGAGGGTTTAGAGTTCTGGGGAATGTCTGCACCTAAAGGTTGTGTCAAAACCCTGCTTTGTTATCCTTTACGTCATTTCTAAACATTTATTTTCCTACCATTTTATTTTTTTTCCCGGTAGTTAACAGTTAATGCTTTGTAGCACACGTTCTTAACACAAACCATCAGGACTTGATGTTCACAAGGAGTCTTTTGGGCGGCTCTGATGTGATTTGCTGTTTCTAACAAACACTGTTTGTACTGCACTGAATGACTGATTCTTTCTTATTCAATGTTTTCTCCACAGACTTAAAAGCCTTTTATCAACACCCACTTTAAACAAACATATAACTCATATCAGTGACTGTCGTCCTGTTGCCTGTGACTGCTGTTATCGTTTCACAGCAGTACTGAAATGGGTTCAGATTGGATGTGTAGTTTGGGCTTTCTGCATCCAGTCAGTGCTGACTTTTATATCTGAAAAATATATTAACCCAGACTTGTTTTTTTTTGTTTTTTTTTAAGTCACAGAGTATTTGCACCTTTCCTGTAGCAGGATGTCTTTATGATTTTGCCCACTAGAGATCAGACAAAGTTTGTCCCCCATAAAATTAATCATGAACTTGCTATCGGGCACTTGGCAGCACGTTCAAATTTACTGTACATGTTCTACTATTCTCCACATTTAAACCAATGAAATCTCCGTATTATCAACTATTGTTTACATGACACTTTTTTGTACTCTTTAATTGTTGAACCACTTGCACAAAAATAAAGATCTAAAAAAAAAAGTTTTTGTTTTTTTTTAATGCACCATATTCTGCAAACAAGCTCACATTTATTGAGGAAAAACTGTAAACAAGCTGGGAGAAAAATGGGTATGTTCCAGTTTAGACGTTTTTCAACTTTGAATAAACCTAAAATGAGAGTCATTCAAGGGCTCCAGTATAACATAACTTTATAAATCAGGAGTGTAGAACATCTTCCTGACCCCAAAACTAGAAATGCTCACCTCTGGAGTTTTGCCTCAGACACAAACAGCATTTTCAGAGAGGCTACAGAAAATACACAGTGGGTCAGGATTACAGTACTAGCAGCAAGAGACATTTCTGCTCTCATAACAACAAACATGTTTAAATATGCAACTGATATCTGCACATTAACTAATGGTAGGGTTTCATCAAGTAGTTGAAGACTTACTAAAACTAAGAAAATAAAACTTGACAAGACAGATGTAACCTGACATGAAGTTAAATAATCTGAGTTAAAAATGAAGGGTTATATCCAGCTCACAAAGGGCTCATCATAGTTTAACTGCGTTTTTGCTTTTTTTTAATGATGCTAAACAACAAAGCTTCTACTGGAACATGTGAACCTCTGCTTTTTGCTATCCTCTAGTTTTACCACAGCTTTATGAATCCAAAATTCCTACTCCAAGGAAATTGCTGGACATAAAAAGAAAAGTAGAGAAAAAGAGGGAATGCATGAACAATGGGACAAAGTACACATGTTTAGTTTATGATTTATAACCTTACAGAAACCCTAAATAAAACAAGTCGTTTCAAGCGATCAATCCCGGTAAGAATGTCCAATATTACATAGATAACCTCAAAGGGTGCATATCTTAAACCTGTTAAACAATATTGTGTTATCCTTTTCTTGCATCATGTTAAAAAAGACTTAAACATTCAATATTGCATCCAAATTCTATAGATGTCTCCCAAAATCATTAAATATAATTTAAGAATTAAAGCATAAACATAAGAAATTGATAATTATAACCCTCAGAAACACAAAAAAACTCTTCACAGTAGGAGAGCAATAAAATTAATCAGTAGTAGCAGGAATATGTACGACAGAAGAGTAGAAATATAAAAGGCAACATGACATTTCCTTTCATTACTCCTGGGCCATTACTCACTGTACGATAATCAGGTGGAAAACACCTCATGAGTCATGAACCAACTTTTGTATAGCAGAGTAACCTCAGTGAGACCGATGGGTCATAACGTTTTGATTTCAACTTCTTTTCTTTTTTGCCACCACATATGTTCAAATAGCCAAACAGGTATTTTCTGGAAGTATTAGAATAATGCACACATGTAGAGTACTGCAGCCAATCTGCCTCATATCGTCTGTTTTTAATGCAGCCAAAGTGGGATATTTAATATTTAGTACACACCATGGTGTAGTTCTACCCAATTATGCCTTATTTAACTAATTGGCAATCTAAGTATCTTTATCTTATGTACTTTTTGTATATTTATAACATCTGCTTGAAGGCAAAAAAAGACTGCTTTAACTATTTAAACAAACTCAGGCAGTAAGGGCTTTATAAGGTTCTTTTTAAAGGTAATGCAGTTTATAATATAAATTGAAAGATATGCTGCTATCCAACAGATTTGTTATCCTTCTGTGCAATAGGCTAATAAACTATATTTAGTTGTTTTAATTCATTTTTTAGTCTATATACGTAAAAGGTTACATCAATATTTTGTATATATTTTATCAGCAGGAGGAGAATAATTTAGTTTGAAATAAAACCATTTAGATTAAGTTATACCAAAGCTTGATTCGATGCCATGAATCTGGCATCACATTAGCTTTGAATGATACTTTCTCTCATTCATTGGCATATTATTAACTGAAAACATTACAGACCAGGCTTACATCAAAAAATATTGAATCCTGATTCTTTGCCCCATCATACCTTTAACTTTGTCAAAATTGTCCACTTTGAAAACTAAGAATTTAAAACTAAATCACACCGTCTCCTACAATGAAATGTTGCCATCAGACTTATTGAAAACAATCTACCAGCTAACCGGCAAATATTTTGGTTTGATCAGGCAGGGATGAGAAAAAGAGGTGATTTAAAGTCATCACAAAACATTTAAGAAAATATATATATTTAAATGACTTTAATTCAAAAGATCTATGAAAATGATACAAAATGGTTTGATGATGGGTATGTAATGGAAGCATGGGACAAAATGGGTTTGTTATTAACAGATTAACCCAACTCATTGGATTTATATCCATTTACATTTTATCACAGCTTTGGTCAAAAACAAAACGTTTGATAAAATCTAAAACCAGCAGGTTTTTGGTCCCTGCAAAGGCTCATTGTCCCACTTTTACTCTCACGTACACCGTGATGAGCAGGCAGGTGCAGCAGCTTCACTAAGAGTTAGGTGTGCTTTGATCCATCACAGAAAGCGCTAATAAACAAGGTCCTAGACGCCATACAGGAACAAACGTACAGTTGAAAAGATGAGTAGTGGGTTCTGCTTTCTTAACTAGGGAGCAGCTTTCTGGCGTTCAGCTGAAGGAAGCAGGAGTCCCTCTGTGAGGACAGTTGAGCTCATTGTGTTTATTTAGTTGAGGGAGGAAGACATGCTTCGCCCTATCAAACCATCTCACAGCAGGATCTTGACTCCTCCCTGTGGAGATTGGAGACCATGGGAGACCCCTCTTGGAGGAGCTGGTCCAAACTCCAACCGCTTCACCAAACTGAAAGACAAGTTGCATCAGATGATAAATAAATCTTTCACATAATCGAAACAGGTTATTTAGATCATCTTTCTAACCTGTCGTATTGAGGAGGAGGACTGAAGCTGCTTGCTGGGGCCTCAGGACCAGGGTCTAAGCCTGAAGGACTACACGGGCCAGCAGGGAGCGCCGGTCTGCTGACAGATGTGTCGTAGACAAATTCTCGACATGACGCCAGTTTAGACTCCAGATTCTGAAAGCAATTATAAAGTCAGCAAGGTCAACGATCCTAATTTGAGAAGAAGATATATGTAAATAAATAAAATCCTTACCCCAACTTTTCTTAGCAGCTCCCCGACGATGTTCAGCGCAGATATCCTAGCAGATGTAGTCAGAGGTGTTCCTGTTAGGCCGTCTCCTGCGGAGTAAAAGAAGGCAGCCATAGAGTTAAAAGTCAAGAACCAAAATGATTTGGTCTTCCTGGTCCATGGCTATTAGTTTGTCGTTACCCCTGCGGATGCTGGAGGCAGGTGGCGTCATGTATGAGCCCGCAGGTTTGGACGGTGTGATGGGGATGGGAGGGGAGGAGCAGCGAATTTCTGAGCGATCAGAGTCTTTGCCCAGGCTGCTGGACGGTCGTCTCTCCTTCTGACGTACGGCCAGCTCCTGACGAAGATCTGACAGACAGTGAGTGTAAATCTGAACTGAACCATTACTTTTCAGTACTCTGAATGTTCTACAACGGTGTAGCATCTCCACCTCACAGCAAAACATTTTAAAGTATATGCCGCACACTTTTGTTTTAATCTGCTTCTATCCGGTCTGTGAACACAGGCCCCATAGCTTGACAGCAATGATGATAAAAACACAGAAATGAAACTATCATATGTCTGCATACCTCTGGCTTCATCTTTGAGCCTCTGAACAGACTCCAGCAGGTTCTCCTTCTCATCCAGCTCACTTTCCAGAAAGGCGTTCCTCTCGATGACCTGGTTCATGCGTTGCTCAAAGTCCTCCAGAGACATGATAGTAGCCCTGGACATGTCACAGTCAGTCACCTTTACTGGTTGGATTTAATCTTATAAAACGTAACACATGCGTGTGTCTAGAGCAGGTCTATCCAATGTGTTGTACTGGTTTAAAAAAGGATGAAAGCAGGAAAACAGCTCTGGGGTGAATATATTTAGCTAATTCTCCAGTGTTCCTGACCTGTCCCAATATTTATTCTGCCCCCTCTGAGCAAAGCAGCTGTGGCTATATCATACACTGGAAAAAATGGAAATCTAGATAAGTCATTTTTTCTTAAAATAAGTACATTTGTTCTTGAATTAAAAGAGACATGTTTCCTATGGAGCTAGACAATTCAGATTTAAAATAAGAAAACACAATTGCAAAGTCTTATTTCAAGTGCATATTATCGAATTATTTTATTTAAGAGTAAAAACACTCATTCCATTGGCAAACAATCTCATTTACCTATTCAAATCAAGCGTAAATGCACTTAATTTAAGACATTTTTACTTATTTCTAGATCATTTCCCAGTGTAGCTATGCACCATCAGTGTGTGAATGGGTGAATTACTGAATCTAGTGAATTATTGAATCTTTTTTGTTCTCCTCATAATCGGGAATACTGACATTTATGCTCAATCCAAACACCCCCAACCAGGAAAGGAGTTAGGAAGAGGAAGCACTTCCTAGCACCAATTCATTAAGCATGGGGGCCTCCGGACGTCACTAGCTAAAGCTAGGAGCTATACGGTTTCCCATATTCATTTTTGAGCAGTATTTTATTATATATATCTATATATAGATACAGATATACACTACCGTTCAAAGGTTTGGTGGTGAATAAGTCACACTTATTCACCACCATACCTTGTGAAATGAATAGAAAATAGAGTCAAGACATTGACTAGGTTAGAAATAATGATTTGTATTTTAAATAAGATTTTCAAAATTTTTCCTTCAAAAAGAAGGACATTTTAATGTGACCCAAACTTTTGAACGGTAGTGAATATATATATATATATATATATATATATATATATATATATATATATATATATATATATATATATATATATATATATGAGAGAGATAGAGAGAGAGAGAGAGAGAGAGAGAGATGGATACACAGATAGATACACACACACACCATTGTATATTGTAATAAACCACTAACCTTTTCGTCCTCTCAAGGTCATCATTAGACTGCTCTAACTCTCTGATGTACTTCTGCAGATGGTCTCTAACCGCCTTGGTTTCTGCCAGATCTTCCTCTAGTGTTGAGATGTGTCTGAAGGCTTCTGAATGCTGTAACTCCAATTTCTCCTACAGATGGTACATAGACGGATCAGCAAACACTTCTAGCTGCACGAGGTTAAAGGTCAATCGATGCAGCCAGTATTATGAATTATTGAAGGGGCTTGCTCAGCTCTGTTTTGAAAATAACCTCAGAACTTCCTCCAGTAATGTTCCTCTTTCTACACTGCATCATAGATGTACTCATGCCCTTAACATTTCAATTTCCCATACAGCCAATAATTAACCCGAAACAAGACAGTTGTGCATATTTGTTGGAAGTTGAAAATAAAATAAAAAAGTTTTTTTTTATCTTTTATAAATTGAGATGTATGAAATGCATTTGTATTTAATCCCCCTGAATGAATACTTTGTAGAGCCATTTTTTGATTTAATTCCCGATTCAAACCTCTACCAGTTTTGCAAACCCAGAAGTTACATTTCCAATGATTCTATTTAGCAAAATAGCTCAATCATACTAAAAAGAAAGTATGTAAGAACATTAATTTCCGAAACCTGCCACAGATTCTCAGTATGATTAAGCTCTGCTTTTTGAGACATTCTAACCTCTCACCCAGTTAGAAATATGTTCCCAGTCTGTCAGTATGGGTGGATGGCTGAGTCTGGTTAGATTGATAGCACTTTTATGTCACCTCCATTCATTAGTTGATATAATTAACCCTCCTTTAAGCTTCTCCGATACTTCTGCCCTTTCTGCTGTGCTCCTTGGCCCTCGTGACTTTTTTTATTTTATTTCCCCTTCAAAAATAACATATGAACTTTTCACAAAACAGCTGGATTTTTATTGAATTCTAAATTACAGGCTAGTCTATGTTATTTTCAAATGAAGTGAAGCTCAAGTGTCATCTATGGTCTTATTTAGGGGTATCGGTTTAAATTTACTTGTAAAAGAAAAAAACAAAATCACATTACTTTCAGAATCGTACTCCCACAAAACGAAATAAAAACTGATCAATTTTCAGGTACCTCACAATTATGCAGTGCTCTATGTTGCTATAAAGCAGGGGTCACCAAACTTTTTAAGGCCGAGGGCTACTTCATGGGTAATGAGTCATAGGAAGGGCTACCAATGCTGACCTATGGACTGGAGGGGTCAGCATTTAACTTAACTTCATACATAATACACATATTCTTATTGGGATGGAGGGAATTGAAGAAGGAAGGATGGGGGAAGGATGATTGAAAGGAAAGAAGGAGGGAAGGAAGGAATGGAGGCAGGATGGAAGGAAGGAATGATGGAAGGAAGGAATGGAGGCAGGATGGAAGGAAAGAATGATGGAAGGATGAAGGATGGAAGGAAGGAAAGGTGGAAGGAATGAATGGAGGAAGGAATGAATGGAGGAAGGATGAAGGAAGGAATGGAAGGAATGAATGATGGAAGGAAAGAATGGAAGAAGGATGGAAGGAATGAATGGAGGAAGGGATGGAAGGAAAGAATGGAAGAAGGATTGGAAGGAATGAATGGAGGAAGGGTGAAGGAAGGAATGGAAGGAATGAATGATGGAAGGAAAGAATGGAAGAAGGATGGAAGGAATAAATGATAGAAGGAATGAATGGAGGAAGGAATGGAAGGAAAGAATTATGGAAGGAATGAATGGAGGAAGGATGAAGGAAGGAATGAAGAAAGGAATGAAAGGAATGAATGATGGAAGGAAAGAATGGAAGACGGATGGAAGGAAGGAATGGAGGAAGAGATGGAAGTAAGGAATGATGGAAGGAATGAATGGAGGAAGGATGAAGGAAGGAATGAAAGGAATGAATGATGGAAGGAAAGAATGGAAGAAGGCTGGAAGGAAGGAATGGAGGAAGGATGGAAGGAATAAATGATGGAAGGAATGAATGGAGGAAGGAATGGAAGGATAGAATTATGGAAGGAATGAATCGAGGAAGGATGAAGGAAGGAATGAAAGGAATGAATGATGGAAGGAAAGAATGGAAGAAGGATGAACGAAAGAATGAAGGAATGAATGATGGAAGGAAAGAATGGAAGACGGATGGAAGGAAGGAATGGAGGAAGGGATGGAAGGAAGAAATGATGGAAGGAATGAATGGAGGAAGGAATGAAAGGAATAAATGATGGAAGGAATGAATGGAGGAAGGATGAACGAAGGAATGACGGAATGAATGATGGAAGGAAAGAATGGAAGACGGATGGAAGGAAGGAATGGAGGAAGGGATGGAAGGAAGAAATGATGGAAGGAATGAATGGAGGAAGGATGGAAGGAAGGAAAGAATTATGGAAGGAATGAATGGAGGAAGGATGGAAGGAATAAATGAATGGAGGAAGGATGAAGGAAGGAATGAAAGGAATGAATGATGGAAGGAAAGAATGGAAAAAGGATGGAAGGAAGGAATGGAGGAAGGGATGGAAGGAAAGAATGAAGGAAGGAAGGAATGATGGAAGGAATGAGTGGAGGAAGGTTTGAGGGAAGGAATGATGGAAGGAATGAATGAAGGAAGGAATGAATGGAGGAAGGACTGAAGGAAAGAGTGGAGAAATGAAGGAAGAATGGAAGGAGGAAGGGAGGGATCCGCTTTCACATTAAATTCATACAAAATACATATTTTTATTTTGAAACATATTGTCATTTTGAAATCCCTGTAAATGCTTAAATACGTTGTATGATTAAATTGATGAAATTCTCCATCAATTATTAAAATAGAAGGGCAAAAGAAAAAAATTAAAATTTCAATCTAAGTCCACTGATAAGTGTGCTGCTTTCAGAAGATGTGAGCACCCCATGAGCCCCTGAGGGCCCCTTGGTGCCCGCAACAGGTAAAATACACTAAAAATAACCCCAAGTCACGCATTGAAAACAAAAAAAAAAGAGAAAAAACATATTTGATCAGAGGTTGTAATGATTACCTGCACTTGGCCTTAAAGAGAAGTCTAGTGTTTATGTACCTTCGTGTTTTCTAGCTCCATTCGAAGTCTGTTGTTGTCCAGCAGCAGTTCTTTGTTTCGACCCTCGCATTGCTTTAACTCTGTCTCCAGCTCTGCTTCATAGTCTCGACTCATCTGCTGGAATTCCTGCAGCTCTTCCTGAGCCTCATCCGCCCTGGTGATGAGAATGTGTTCAGCTTCACCCCAAACCAATCAGAAACACAACACCACGTTGAACTACCTTTGCTGGTGTTTTTGTGCTTGCTCTTTCCAAAACTCCAGCTCCTCCTTCAGGGATGAAAACGAGTGTGCTGTGGGCTCTACCATGTCTGCTGGGTTAATAAATGCAGGAAATTGTAGCCTTTAATGACGCCGTTAGCTGGTGTCTCATTAACGTCCCGTTAGCATACGCTAACCAGGCCAGGTAACAACACAAGAGCACTCAATGTAGATAAAATGGCGTAACATTTCGCTGCTTCTCTATTAACTTGTAAATACACAGTTACAAGCAAAGTAATAGGCTGTGTGACATAACATTTAGCTACCCCACGCTAACAGTGGAAGCTGAACAAATGCCATTATCTCGCTATATTAAGGCCGAACAGGCCAGATTTACCTGTATTCGATCGGAACATCAACTCATACCGCTGATAAAGACACTGTTTACCGATATGTGATTTGGTTTTTAAAGATTCAACGGACCCGAACTCACTAATCTCGATTTACGTTAGCCAAGCATCGAACTCTCCAATCAAACATGAACGAACGCCCTTCTTGGACATGATTGGACGGCCACAATCTACGTAAATTTGAAGTTAACCAATCAAATTCATTTACGACACCTTCTTCCTGGATCGTCACGAGCGGTTTGTAGCCTGTTGTTGGATTCAAACAAGAGCAAAATGAAAGTTAATTTTAATTATTTGTACTTCAAAATTACAAATATTGAAAGTCTTACCAGAATTTATTACAAATATTTGAGTAAATAAAGCAGAAATAATATAAAAATGTATCATACAAGTTACTATACTGTGGAGTTATTTTCAGGATAACATTGCAACTCTAAATAGCTTGAAGCAGATTGAGTCATACAAACTGAAGGTATCTGGAATAGGGATATTCATTCCAGAGTTTAATATATGTATATATAAAATATTGACAGACCCTTTATCTATATACACAGCAGAAATGGTAGATATTATTATTAGTTTACATTGTGGAGGAGGTTAGACCAGACAGGGGGGTGATTTACACAGATTCTAATGCTGCAATAGAAAGCATTCTTCAGGAGGAAAGAATAGGAAAGATCTTGTACTAGAAATTCAGTTTCAGAGTTTGTTTAGTTATTTAGCTATGGAATAAATGTTCAGTTCTGTTGGGTTCCAGCACTCAAAGAGGTGAGAGGAAATTAAATAGCTGACAAAATAGCTAAAAGGCTTTAGGAAAGCAGAATATAGATCATATTCTGTTTAGGAAAGGGGCAGGTAAATTAATCCATCCATCCATTTTCTTACACGCTTAATCCCAAGCGGGGTCGCGAGGGGTGCTGGTGCCTATCTCCAGCTGTCTACAGGCGAGAGGCGGGGTACACCCTGGACAGGTCGCCAGTCCATCGCAGGGCAACACAGAGACAAACAGGACAAACAACCACTCACACACACACCTAAGGAGAATTTACCTAACAGTCATGTTTTTGGACTGTGGGAGGAAGCTGGAGTACCCGGAGAGAACCCATGCATGCTCAGGGAGAACATGCAAACTCCATGCAGAAAGAAGAAGGTAAATCAATAATTAAAAAGAAAGAAACAGATTTATGGCACAAAAAAATATATATATATGGGATAAAGATGAGAAAGGAAGATGATTATATAGGGTTAAAAAATCTGTAATTGTTAAAATTTATGGAGAAACAGAAGGGAAAAGACAATTTATACTAGACTAATAATTGGACATATCTACTTGAACGAGTTTTCGTTTGTACGAGGGAAGATAAATAATGATTTATGTGAGGGTTGTGAAAGAAAAAATGTGGATAATGTTTTGATGGATTGCATTAGATATGCAACTGAAAGAGAGAGGCTTAGGAAAGTAATTATGGAAAAGGGAGAGAATGGAGCATTAAAGGAATTTTAGGGTCAGATGGAAATAGGAAGGAAATATTGGTTATTAATGAAGCATTATTTTAATTTTTACGTAACACAAAATTTAAACATAGAATATAGTAGGTGGAACTATAGAGCTACACACTCATGTACTAATTAGGTGGTGGTATACACCTACAAGTTGTTTGCAATCCGCCAATCTAACAAAGAAAGAGGGCAATTCAACATCCTATTAGTTTCACAGTTTAAAAAAAAAAAGTAAATCGGAGGGAAAGAGTATTATTAAAGAAGAATTGATGGAAAATAGCAACAACAACAAAAAAGTGGGATAAAGAACAATTAGGAAAATGGTTTTATAAAATTCAGAAGATAGTAGGAAAAAGAAGAAATGGAAGAAAAATTAGAAAGGAGGAGTGAGTGATAACAAGGTTAAGATTTGGGCATGCAGGACTTAATTATACACTTTTCAAAATTCAAAAGCATACTACTGGCAAATGTGATTACTGTGGAAAATATGAAACCATAGAACATGTTATACTGGAATGTCATAAATATGAAAGCAAGAGAAGATATATGAGGAGAGAGTTTGAATGTATTAAGGAAAAGATTAATTTATTAGATATTTTGAGGAAGAATTTGGGGAGTAAATATATACAAATAATTTTTCGATTTTTAAAGACAACTAAATTATCTCACAGAATTTGATTATAGAGAGGGTGAATGTGTGTATGATATAGATGGGTAGAATGCGAAGTTATGTATAAGTAGTTGTTTTTTTTCCCTTAGAAATTATATATATGTTTATTAAGTAGATAGTCCATCACAAGCTAAACTCCATACCACTAAGTGGTGGTAATGCTACTAAATGTTTGTTGCCAACCGCCAATAATTCCAAGAAGAGAAGACTTTTTGACTTTTAACAACACTATATTTACACAATTCAACATATCAGCACCATCTCTGGAAGGTGCGGAAGCATCATAGGTAGCCATAGAATCTGAACAGGGTTTAGACTGCTTTGATCCAGTTGAACTTTCAGAGTTAGTAAAACTATTGTCTTAATCTAAGCCTTCAACTTGGATGTTGGATCCAGTTCCAACCAGATTATTTAAGGAAGTATTCCCTTTGATCTCGTCCTCCATTTTAGATGTGATTAATCTATCTCTGCTACAGGGACCAATGGCTTTCAAGGTTGCTGTAATTAAAGCTTTACTTAAGAAACTGTCTCTTGACCCAGATGACTTGATCAATTATAAACCTATATCCAATTTTCCTTTCATATATAAAATTCTTGAGAAAGTAGATGCCAAACAAGTGTGCGACATCTTACACCATAATGAAGTTTTGAAAACAGCTCTGGTGAAGGTTACTAATGATAATCTCATGGCCTCTGATAATGGAATTGTATTTGTACCTGTCCGGTTAGATCTAGTACTGTATTTGATACAGTTGAACATAATATTCTTTTAGAAAGACTTGAATATTTTGTAGGTATTAGAGGAACAGCACTATGCTGGTTTAAATCTTATCTATCTGATCGATTTCAGTTTGTTCACGTTAATGACAAATCTTCCTCATGCTCAAGGGTTACCTCTGGAGTACCACAGGGACCAATGCAAGCACCAATTTTCTTTATATACAGGTGCTGGTCATAAAATTAGAATATCATGAAAAAGTAGATTGATTTCAGTAATTCCATTTAAAAAGTGAAACTTGTATATTATATTCATACATTACATACAAACTCATATATTTCAGATGTTTATTTTGTTTAATTTTGATGATTACAAATGACAACAAATGAAAATCTCAAATTCATCATATCAGAAAATTAGAATATTGTGAAAAGGTTCAAAATTGATGGCCCCTGGTGCCACACTCAGATCAGCTAATTAACTCAAACCACCTGCAAAAGCCTTTAAATGGTCTTTCAGTCTAGTTCTATAGGCTACACAATCATGGGGAAGACTGCTGACTTGACAGTTGTCCAAAAGACGACCATCGACACCTTGCACAAGGAGGGCAAGACACAAAAGGTCATCGCTAAAGAGGCTGGCTGTTCACAGAGCTCAGTGTCCAAGCACATTAATAGAGAGGCGAAGGGAAGGAAAAGATGTGGTCGAAAAAAGTGTACAAGCAAGAGAGATAACCGCACCCTGGAGAGGATTGTGAAACAAAACCCCTTCAAAAATGTGGGGGAGATTCACAAAGAGTGGACTGCAGCTGGAGTGAGTGCTTCAAGAACCACCACACACAGACGTATGAAAGACATGGGTTTCTGCTGTCGCATTCCTTGTGTCAAGCCACTCTTGAACCACAGACAGCGTCAGAAGCGTCTTGCCTGGGCTAAAGAGAAACAGGACTGGACTGCTGGTGAGTGGTCCAAAGTCATGTTCTCTGATGAAAGTAAATTTTGCATTTCCTTTGGAAATCAAGGTCCCAGAGTCTGGAGGAAAAGAAGAGAGGCACTTCATCCACGTTGCTTGAAGTCCAGTGTAAAGTTTCCACAGTCAGTGATGGTTTGGGGTGCCATGTCATCTGCTGGTGTTGGTCCATTGTGTTTTCTGAGGTCCAGGGTCAACGCAGCCACATACCAGGAAGTTTTAGAGCACTTCATGCTTCCTGCAGCTGACCAACTTTTTGGAGATGCAGATTTCATTTTCCAACAGGACTTGGCACCTGCACACAGTGCCAAAGCTACCAGTACCTGGTTGAAGGACCATGGTATCCCTGTTCTTAATTGGCCAGCAAACTCTCCTGACCTTAACCCCATAGAAAATCTATGGGGTATTGTGAAGAAGAAGATGCAATACACCAGACCCAACAATTCAGAAGAGCTAAAAGCCACTATTAGAGCAACCTGGGCTATCATAACACCTGAGCAGTGCCACAGACTGATCGACTCCATGCCACGCCGCATTGCTGCAGTAATACAGGCCAAAGGAGGCCCAACTAAATACTGAGTGCTGTACATGCTCATACTTTTCATGTTCATACTTTTCAGTTGGCCAACATTTCTATAAATCCTTTGTTTTTATTGGTCTTCAGTAATATTCTAATTTTCTGATATGATGAATTTGAGATTTTCATTTGTTGTCATTTGTAATCATCAAAATTAAACAAAATAAACATCTGAAATATATGAGTTTGTATGTAATGTATGAATATAATATACAAGTTTCACTTTTTAAATGGAATTACTGAAATCAATCTACTTTTTCATGATATTCTAATTTTATGACCAGCACCTGTATATATATATATATATATATATATATATATATATATATATATATATATATATATATATATATATATATATATATATATATATATATATATATATGCTCCTAATCAGTAGAATTATTAGACAGCATGGGATTAATTTCCGCTGTTATACTGTTAATACTCAGCTATATCTGTCAATAAATCCAGATGAATCTAACCCTTTTGTGTCTCTGCTTCTGTCACCCTGAACCACAGCAGATGGCCTCTCACACTGAGCCAGGTTCTGCTAGAGGTTTCTTCCTGTTAAAAGGGAGTTTTTCCTCTCCACTGTTGCTACAAGCATGCTTAGTGTGAGGGATTGCCTTCGAGTCAATGAGTCGATACAATCATATGGTCTTCCTTAGATAGAAAACTTTTATTCAATCTGACTGTTTAATCTGGTGAACTGTAAAGTGCCTTAAATTGAATTGATGGTGGCCAAAAGTTTGAGACTAAAATGTTTTTGAGTCTCATCCTTTATAGTTCTTTTATAATGGCAATATGCATGTAGTCTAGTTTCCCACAAGGAGTTATTTAATGCCATGCAATCAGTTGCATCAATACTAAAAGCAGAAAGGTCTACCCTGCTTTGTGTTAGCTATACTACATAAAGAGTTTGTAGCATTTGAATTGCCTTTTTTTTTACTCATGCGTGTTAATAAAACGGGTTAGGATATATTTCTCTCACTTTGACTAAATCTGAGAAATCAGAAAGTCTATTTAAAGGAGAGAGGCGCATGCCATTTTTGGCATATGCTGTCATTATGTATTTGATAAAAATAAAAAATAAAATGGTTTTACAGTCAAGCATTTCTTTTCTAGCAGTATTGCACCACCATCAACCATCAATTGAATTACGACGAACATCCAGTAGATAGTCACAACAATAAAGCTAAAGATGTCCAGGATTTTTAAGTTTTTGCCTGTGCAGAGCTTGCTCGGGAATCCAGCAGGTGGATGAGGGTATTTTTAAAATTAAAAAGTAATCCAGAGACAATTTGATGTTGATCTGGTGTTGTGAGAGCAACAAAGAAGCTGTCTCTTTGGAAAAAGAAAAACTTCTGGGACAGACTGACATCTGCTAAATGTAACTGGATCAAAATGCAGAAGACTTTGGTAAACCTTACAGATGCTTTCAGTGACCATTCAGTTACTTAATCTGCTAATTCTGCTTCTGATACAGCGCTGATGGAACACCATGACAACCCACTATGTATGTTTTTATATTACACTCATATTCATACGCAACAGTTGCTGTTAGTCCTTGGGATTTTATTATATCTGTTAGTACAAAGTCGGCTCCAACATAACTTATAACAGCACTTGAAACTAAGAGGACCTCAAGCTCAAGATTACAAATCTGGCATTTTATCCTCCTGAAAAAAAATATGGCAACATTGACTCTGGCAGTGATGTGCTGCTCTGACTTTCATGTCCCCTTGATACAAAATCAACATTTAAAGGAACTATAACCTGAAAAGGAATTTAAAAAAAACAAAAACAGATTTAACTCCAAAATAATGGAATTGACCATCACAGTTAAATGAACTAATATGTGGAAAGAGTGAAGAACAATGAACGCATTCTAAAAACTTCAATGCTAGGGATGTATGAATGTAATTGCATGGACATAATGCTAGTATTCCGATATTGAAATATTTATATGATACCTTTATATAAAATGTAATCAGAGTAAATGTGGAAGTTAAGAAAAGATGGACGTAAATACTGTAACAGAACTGATGCACAGTTGCAAAATGAATTAGGATATAGGATTGTTCTTACTGCTACTTTTCATTCAAGTTGCATTGTTTTGGGAGTGTGCATGATGTCATGTACATGAACTTTAAAGTAATTTTTTTTTTATGAATGAAATCAACAACTTTCTTAATACAGAAATGCTTCTGTCAAGCTACATCTAATCAAAGCATGTTTTTAACAGTCTGTCTAGCATCTAAAGCTATGTTGCCCATGCAGGTTTTCATGCTTTATGCCAAAACTGGTGTACAAGGGAGCAAGAGCCACACAGAGATAAATAAAACTTGTAAATAAGTGTACAGTATCTTCTGCCATGCTGCTCCTTATGCCTGGAGACCTTATCTTTGTTTAAGAGTTTTGTAAGCACAAAGAATATGGTTATTAAATGATAAATATAACTGCACCTAAAGTTCAATTGAATCACCAGACTCAGTTTATGAAACATACAAAATCAGTAGTAACTTAAACCCAACATATGTATTCTTGTATTAAATTACCCGCAAGGGAGCAAAAGATTATTTTGATCAAACTACCTATACAGTGACTTCTATCCTTATTACGAAGATCTGAATCTACACATCCAGCATCTTAAATGAAAATAAGTGCACAGGTTCTCCTTCCACTTCCTCTCTTCCCCTGATCTTCATTATTCAGACATTAGCCATCTAATCTGTAAAACTAAACTTTTGCCCACCAAAAGTTTAGTTTGAATGGCTCTTAAGGCATATTTGTCTCATTGACATTCTTGTTGGAGCCCATCTTGTTGCTGTCCAACATGTCCGTTTTCACCTGACCCAGCGTTTGCAGCAGGCACATTGTGTCAAAGCCCTCATCACCAGTCTGCTGCAACAACTCCAGTACCTGTACAGGAGAAATAGAACTGATTTGTTAAAATAAACAAATAAATCTAGCAGCTACTAATAGCTTTACAGGAACTCGCCTGCAGACACTTGAAGGACTTGAGTTGACTCAGGTTCTCCTTAAGGAACAGGAGGTAGATGCTGAGGTCATTGTAGACTGGTTTAACTTCGCCCAGGGCACCGAATCCAGGTAGCATCTCATAGGGTCTGAGAAAGCCAGAGCCCTGTTGCCCCGGTCCCAGAGCCGCGTACACCACCAGAGGAGCGAGAAGTACGTACACGCTCAGGTTGATGTAGCTGAGCAGCCGGAAGATGCCCACTGCTACCAGCTTGCACTGAACTGCAGATGGCACCCCGCTGTCGTTCTTCAGCACACCTGTCCGCAGGTCGCAGGGAAACTCGTCAGTGAGCGAAGCCACAAAGATGTAGTAACCGAGGTAGAGGCACGCCAGCAGGAGGATGAGCAGTGTCAGGCCCCGACATGCCATGTATTTGACCACAAGGCTGCAGGAGGTGCGCTTGGTCTTTAGGTACTGTTCTACAAGAGGGTATTTAAAGCAGCCCTCAGCCAGGTCCAAAGCACTGCAGCAGGGAAAAGGAGCAGCTGCATAAAGCATAAGACTGACGTTTGCATTAAATGTAATACAGCAACGAAACAACAAACCGTAACAACTGGATACCATATCTACTAAGCACCCTCCTTGCTAAGTATTCCTTAGAATAACAAACCTTTTTTATCGGACCTTTATGTGACAGATCAACAACTACTGAAACATAAAAGTGAAGGGGTTTTTTACAGAACAAAAAAAAAGACCTGAATTTGTATTCTAACACGTACAACCTTCTTAATTTTTCCACATCTGACAGAAAAATGGCTTTAGTTTTCACCCATTAGTAATAAATGTGTAAAAGTACAGTTGATCTGAAAAGTATGTGCGTGATGGTGTAAGTGCATGTATGATGAAAACAAATGTGTGATTTTTTAAAAGTATTTTAATAAATGGTCTATATTAGGAGCCAGAGGTATGCTATTGTATTTTCTCTGTTCAAACAACTCAATATCATCATCATCATTTAATACCTTTTATTCTAATATCCCTATATAGAATCCATTGGATCCTGAAGTGGCCCTGTTATCCAGAAATAACTTGAAAGACCAATCTAACAAGCAACCCTACCAAACATGGTAGTCCACACTCACTGAAGGTTAGAGCAAAGAGAGCATTCACCTGAGAAGCACCCATGGTGACAATGTAGGATTCTGGAGAATCTCCTGCCCAGGAGAGGAAATTTTCCTGACAGGACCGTTTGTTGTGTGCTCCACAACCCAACTTTTAAACGATAACTACTTGTTGAAAGAAAGCCATAAGACGTCTGGTTTGCAGTTTGTACCAAACAATGTATGCAGTGTGCAGAAAACAGTTGAAAGAAGGCGCTTTGGTCAAATGATACCAAAACTAATCTTTTTTGGAAAATACTATTTTTAGAAGACGTGGTGGTGGCAACATCATGCAATGCTTTGCAATGTGCTGGAAATGTATACTCAGCCACTGCTACACCCGGAACACAGCTTCCCTATCATGAAACATGGTGGTGGCAGCATCATGCCTGGGAATCCTTTATTTCAGTAGGGATGGGGAAACTAGTCAGACTTCGTGGAAAGAAGGATGACATAAATTCTGGTGGGAGAAAACCCACTAGAGGCAGAAAAGACAAGAGTATGCATGGTAAGAATTTGTTTGTAGTTGTACAAATACCCCAAAATACCCCAGATTTACAACAGTGAAAAGAAGTTCTAATAAGAATTGGCTCTTAGGAGCTGAATGCAATGCAAACCTAGAATTTTACGTTTTTTATTTACAAATGACAACTATTTCGACTTTCATCACAACTATGCAGTACTTTGTGTTGGTCTGTCACATAAAATCCCTTTAAAACACAATGATTTCTGTGGGTTAGCATCAGGTTACCAACGCTTGTATTTTATCTACCTCTGGTTGCCCTGCGCTGCATCCTTGTCATCTAAAGATGCCAGATTTTTGGCCAGTTTTATGGTGCGGTTATAAAATCGATCCAACTCCTCCATAATGAAGCTGAGGTCAGACGACAGGTGAGGAGCTGCAGTGAAACTCCAGAGCACGGCAGGAACCGACATCAGGATGGCAATTAGGAGAAGGACATAGGGGTAGAACTGAGACGGCCAGAGAAAGAACAACAGGAGAGTAGAATTATACTAAACAAAGAGTAACTCCATTTTTATTAATTTTTTCTTAAAGTCTTGGATTTATTCACCCTTGCCTCATCTTATACAGTAAGATATATCTAAACATCTTATGGAGGTCTTCAAATGTGGTTAAAGCATGTTATACATTTGCTAATGCTGATGTCATGCAAACTTAGACTAGACTTGTTAGACTGTTTTATGGAGCATAAGCAGTTTAATTTTTACTTCAGTTTCTTGGGTCAAATCTGACTTCATAGTTCTGCTTTAGCTCTTTACCTTATGCAGCCAAAGTGTTGAACTGTCACCCTGGTCCTGCACTGCAGCCCAACAAAAAGAGTCCACATATGCCCCTTGTCTCATAGAAAAGTTGGTGGGAGCAAAGCAGCTGATCTGAGTCCCTGAGAGAGGAAAACAGTGAATCAGAGCAGGTGGGGATTTGGTTCAAAAGATCAAATGAAGAAAACAAGATTTTACCCGTTATCATTAGTCTTCTCTGTTTTCTACTCATGGCCTAAGTCTTTTTACTGAGCTGTTTGTCGCATTCTTAGTCCTTAAAATTGGACCCATTCATTTTATAGTGAATACAAGAGAACAAAGCCTGACCCAGATATTCACAAATTTTGATGTAGACTGACAATGTTTATTGGACTCCAGGTCCATGGCTGTACCAGAACTTTGATTCAAAATATTTATGAATATCATTTAATTTTCTACACATATTTCATACTTTAGACTGATCACACTGGACAACACAGAGATGCGAGTCAATAGCATCTCTGTAAATGTGTACACCCACAAATCCATTATCAATTAGTCTGTCCATCCATCCGTCCATCCATCCATCATTCCATCCATCCATTTGTCTGTTCATCCATCCATTTATTTGTCTTTCCATCCATCCATCCATCCATTAGTCTGCCTGTCCATCCATCCATTCATCTATCCATTAATTAGTCTGTCCATCCATCCATCCATTTATTCCTTAGTCTGTCCATCCAATCATTCATTGATCTGTCCATCCGTCTGTCCATCCATCCATTAATTCATTAGTCTGTCCATCCATGTATTCATTGATCTGCCCATCCATCCATCCATCTATCCATCCATCCATCCATCCATCCATCCATCCATCCATCCATCCATTCGTTAGCCTGTCCATCCATTCATTCATTGGTCTGGCCATGCATCCATCCATCTATCCATCCATCTATCCATCCATCCATCCATCCATCCATCCATTCGTTAGCCTACCCATCCATTCATTTATTGGTCTGGCCATCCATCCATCCATCCATCCATCCATTAGTTAGCCTGTCCATCCATTCATTCATTGGTCTGGCGTTACATCCGCCCATCCATTCGTCCATCCATTAATTTGTTAGTCTGTCCATCTATTCATTTATTGGTCTGTCCATCCATCTGTCCATCCAATCATTCATTGGTCTGTCCATCTATTCATTCATTGGTCTGTCCATCCATCTGTCCATCTATTCATTCATTGGTCTGTCCATCCATCTGTCCATCCAATCATTCATTGTTCTGTCCATCCGTCTGTCCATCTATTCATTCATTGGTCTGTCCATCCATCTGTCCATCCATCCATTCGTTAGTCTGTCCATCTATTCATTCATTGGTCTATCAATCCATCGTTGTCAGTTTATACATCCATTAGACTATCAACCCTTCAATTAGTCCATCCATCAATATATCCATAATCTACGAGCAGAGATAATATAATTATAGTAAATGTTGTCAACAGAGTATGAAATGTGCATCTCTATCTTTTATATCTTTAAAAAAAAATAACCTATTTCTATTCAATCAAGTAAATGAAAATTACAAATGTTCACAAGGAAGGCTATCATTTCAATCTGACTAAGTCTAAATCGATTCATCTATGTGCCACATCTTTTGAGAGCAGTCTTTGGCACTTTGACCAAGTAATGGATTTTGACCGCATCACATTTTATCCATTAACGGACAAATCAGCCTGCTGGAGATCTGGTAATAGTTCCATCCTGATTGTTCTACTATCTGGTTTGTCTTTTATCAGAAAAGAAGATGAAATGTTAAATACTGAGTTGAATACACTGTTTATTCCTTTTAGCACAAATTGTGTCTTTTTGTATGGTTCACTGTACCATTTTCTAATCTAAAATAAGTTTTATAAGTAGAAGAAAGTAAATATTCCATTGAAATTTTTTTTGTGTGATTATGAGTAGGGTGGAGACCAAAAACCACACCTTCTCACACTACTGTTTCAGCTGATAACACCTATTCATTGCTTCTGTTTACAGCTTATAACCATTTGGATCTATCTGTTTTATTCAAACATTTATATAGATCTTATTATGTTCCAGGGTGGAACGTTTCAAAATGCATCAACTCACCTACAGAAACCTCCTGAGCAAAGGCGAGCGAGATGAGAAACAAAGGCAGACCCGCCGCTAGAAACGTGACTATTTTATCCACGGCCAGCTCCAGACGGACTCCTTTGTATTTTCTCTCTGTAGCATCCTTCAACAAAAAGTCCGAAAACACGTACTCTGTGGCAACAGAGGCGATCGCCATGAGGGTCGCAGACAAAAAGCTGTGAGGCAGATGGAGGAGCTACTCTGTTTTTTTAAATAAATATAAATAAATCTCACACAATCTCACTTTTCGTCCCGTTAAGGAGGAAAGCACATAGGAAAAAATTTAAATATTATTATTATTTAAAGCACGGATTAACTCTATTGTTCATAGAGCTCCTTTCACGGCGCTGAATGATGCATTAACCTGCTGCTGTCCCGTTACTGAATTAGACCCCAAGGTTGTTCTGGCTGGGAGCCACCAGAGGGCGCCATTGTTCTCTTAAGTGCATTTGATCCTACCACAGTCCTATATAAAGCATTATGACACCAGATCAATACATATTTAATTATTTAATTAAAAAAAGAAGCAGGAAATACATTAAATAATTAAAAACAAATACATTAAGTTCAATGAATGTTTATATGGAAGAAGAATAATTTACTTCAATATATTTAAATGTCTATGTTTTGTTTTGCAACACTTTAAACCCAATCTGATTTTTTAATACCGTATATAAAGAAATTACTTTATCAGCCTCTGAGTCTCATAGAGGGACCCTAAAATAATGGAATGAGTAATTTAATATTAGGCAAATTACAGTGAACACAGAATTTAAATTATGTGATTTCATATTTTGTTTTTCATTTAAGGAATAAAAAAAAAAAACGTAAACATGTACATGTAGAGCGAGGAAATCTCCAGTGTATGGTGTTATCAGGACATTAGGACCTTGAGCAATATTTCAAAAAATCTTATTGAATATAAGAGCCATCAGAAATTAAAAATAAGTATAGATCGAAGAGATTTCAACTCAGTGCAAGGAAGGTTCTTTTAAAGTAGCTTGTAAGTGTATCAACCACAATATGCAGTTCCATTATCTATAGTATCTTCTTCCTCAGCATCTACCTCCTGTTCAACCTATATAATACTAATTTAAATGGTTTAAAATAAGCCCTTTTATATATGTCTTTTATATCAACCGTATCTCCCATATATTGTGGCGAATGGTCGAAAATTAGTACCGTCGAAATTGAACAAAACAACACAATTCACGACAGTCGCATCGTTTTCTGGCAATGGTCGGTTACAAAAAGGTGCACGGCATTTGTAGGGAGAACAACACAGGTACACGGTTCTAAGGGGAGGATGTAAGAGGCTAAACTTTCGCAGGTACATGTTTTAGGGTTTTTTGTTTTGTTTTTTAGAGTGGCTTTGTATTTGAAATATGTTAACTTCTTATAAACTGTAACGAACGACCGCTTTCTACATACGTCTAAAGGGGGTTGTAGATTGTAACTCTGTCGTTAGCCACAAAAGGCTACAAACAGCTGAGTTAAATAAGTACTTTTGGTTTGGTTGTTTCCTGTATTACTAGTTAACCTAAACATCTTGTAACGACAAAATTCAACAAAGACAATCATAAAGTCTGCTAGCTTGAAGCTAACCTGAATTGTTCTTCCTTAAATGGTTCCCTTAAGTTAAAAAGTTGGATTTGGCATTGATGTTTTGTTAGCACTGTCGACACCAAAGTCCTTACAGTGAACTTTTATCAGTCGATATGAACACTTTATCCACATCTGTTTTCTTAAACGGGTCACAGTGAACTGCAAACATTTAGCTGGTTTTATAACATAACTGCCAGTGGAAATGATCAGTTTCATATAATCTGCACAGGGAAGCATGAGAGAGAAGAAGGACGAGAGCATGGTGAAAGGCCCATGGTGTTTGTGTGATGGATGGCGTAAGGAAGGAGAGATCCACACACTGCTCTAGAACAGGTCCGATTCACCCCAAAGCAGATGTCTCCAGCCTTCAGTGGAAACCCAAACACTCCTCCTCAAATGAGACGACCTCCTTTCACCAGAACTATAAAGGTGTACGTATTCTCACCTATACACTCAAATTTCTTATATTTATATATATCCTCAAAAGGACCATGTCTGGGAATGTTTGAGTAAACAAACTAATTTCAGATTCTTTTTTAGACCACTTTTACAAAGTTGAATGCAGGTTGTTGTACAAGTCCTGAGATTCTCCATGTAATGAGTACTGCTTTGATAGGCACTGTTGGTTGATCACTATGCAAGAAGTGAAGAGACGTGTCAGTACAGGCCATAGAAGAGGAGGGAGTTCTATCTTATTTTGGCTGCTGATACCAGATAGTCTTGGTTTAATACGCAATTATCCGCCATCTTCTTCAGGCATCTTTGGAGCAAATGTAGCCTTGCATATGTAGACAACAGCTTTAACCTTACAGGGATCCATGGACAGTGCAGATAACGTGGTTTACTGTTGGTGTGACCATTGATCCACTATTAACTCGTTCCTGACAGCAAAGTGTACTTTAAACAAATCATTCCCTTCAAACAAGGCTTTTAATTTGACTGAAGCCTTATGTGAGTTTAATTAGGATTAATATAGACTGTAGCCATTTAGGCTGGGAATTCTACTTAAATTAATTGTCACATCCCCAAAAGTAAAGATGTTTGTTTTTTTTTGTTTTTTTTTGTAATTCACATTACATTTGTAATTGGATTTTAATCTGTTTTGGTTCAAGTTTTAGAGTAGATTTTTGGTTTTCATAATTTATGAGGGTCTTGCATTTAAAGCAACACTGTTTAAAATTTGATCCCAGCGTTGTTGTGTAGTACACAAGGGATGACGAGGGCCGCTGACGAGGCCTGATTAGCCTCTCATGGTTTCCTTCCATACATACAGTCGGATAAAAACAAACATGTTTGAAGTCCAGTCGGCCCTCTTGAGGTGATCATGATCGTATCCTGCTGTTAGAGAAAAGCTCAGAGCCAACTTATCTTGACCTCATGCACCGTGTGTGTGCGAATAAGGGAATTATTTTTTTCTCTGACTTAACCTCTGGATGGACCAGTCCGACCCCATCTCTCTCTCTCTATGGGACTATGTCAGATCTGTGGTTTTTGGGATATGTGTCCAACTCTACTACATCCAGGCCCACTTGTGCAGCAACTACAAATCTGATATCTGTATTAACGGTACTGCCGCTGAAGCTCCTTAGAAATGAACTTAGCACATAGAACAGTAGTAAGTAGTTCGGCATCCACTCTTTGCTTGCTCTGTGAGTAAACGTCACGGTTTCTAGGCGACAAAGCTTACGATGAGCTTACCTGTTTGAATCCATAGCTGAACAGTCTGGCCTGCTCATCTTCACAGCCTCCGATGACCCAGTCTAGGTCGGCTGGCTTCTTATGGAAGAAGAATTTGCTGAAATCGAACGCAGCCAATGTTTACGGTGGATACCGCAAAAACTCTTAATTAGATGAACTACTACAGTGTCCAAACGGTATCCTCACTGAGTGATGAACAAATGAAGAATTCAGTCCTCACGTAGAAAAACAAAGTAATTGTTCTGAAAATTACATTTTGAAAAAGCTGGGTATTTTGAATAATGTTTTTTTTTTTCAGCATCAATATATTTCAATGAAAGTATTACAAAAATTTCTATTTATTTTTTATTTTGCATCAATATGTCTCACTGAAATTAATAAATTAATATATTCAGATGTTGTGAACAGATAACGTTTTTTCAAATAAATCTTTATTTCTACATTATTAAATCTTTTTTGATACTAATATTACCTCAAAGAGTTGGGCATATATAACCCATTTGAGAAGCATCATTCATCAGATAATAACATTGGAGACAAACCTGGAATTTATAGGTCTTTTGTGCCCTAGTAGCTAAATGTTAGTGTTTCCCTAAATGTGTAGTTAGAAAAATAAATGCATTTGAATCCAATAGATTTTTAGAATTTTGCTATGGGAAATAAAAATTTAAAGGGATCATAAAATCTGCATTTTTTTTTTTATATTTCAGAACATTTCCATGGAAAACCACAAGGCTGTACCTGACCTGAAGGATGTCCCCCCACCTCCTCCTCCTCTTCCTCCTTATCCCTCTACATCCCAGCTATCCCAGCCCTTTCCTTTGATACCTCTGCCCCTGCCTCCTGCCTGCTTGCCGCCTTCCCTGCAGCTAATACAAGATTCCCACCAACAACATCCGCCATCAAAACAGCAACAGCAAGGGCTTAGCCCCAAAGTAAGCATTTGCACCCAATGTGACTACTGTAGCACAGACAGCTATGGCTTATTGGGTGGCAGAGGTGTTGTAAGCAGCAGTATTTGTTCACCACAGACAGCATCTGGCTTTCTGGGAACACCAAGCAGCAGCAGTAGCAGATTAGAGCTGTGCTCTTTAGCTCCACCTATCCGTTGCTATAATAACCTAAGCCGTGGTGGAAGTGACGTGTTTGATCCCTTGCTCCCGCTTGGTTGCAAACCTCAGTTGCCTTCTTTTGTGGCTACCTCTCAACCTCTTTCCCTTCAACCTTGCCTACCATGCTGCTCAGGACCTCTTCACCCCTGCTCAGCTTTACCTCCTTCACTCAGTCAGTCCAGCACATTTCCCTCTTCTGCACCCCTTTCCTCTGTCACCTCTCCACCTGCTCCTGGGAAAGACTCGTGTGTGGTTTCCTCTGGCTTTTACACCTGCGGTGTGGACTGCCACACATCAACAAGGACATTCCAAAGAAGTGCACTTGGTGATCAGCCCAGCATCACAGCCGTCACAAGTTCAACCAGCTCAACACACTTCACCTCTAGTCCTATGCTCCAGAATGTAAAACACACAGTTTGTCGGAATGCGGCACACTTCTGCCAGGAGTGCTTGTTAAAGGTTTGTCTGGTTCACTTTATTTTACTTTGACTTCCTTGGACTCTTATCCCAAGATGATGTGAAAATCAGAATGAAATGTTACATTTCTGTCTGTCCATACCTCAGTTTTCCTGCTGTGTTTTTTTCTTTTAGCCAAAACCTGGTCCAATTTCAGAATCCAAGTTGTGGCCCAATGTTCCTCCGCCTCCAGCTTCTTCCATCCCTCTTCCCATTTGTAATGGCTGTGGAACATTGTCTGATGGCATGATGCCGTCCACCAACCATGGCAAGAGCGGCTATAAATATGGTTAGCGAACATGACAATATAATATCCAACTGTTGTTCTGCTTCTTATTGAGATTTCCTCTCAGATGGACTAATAACGACGTGCTTCCATTGCTGTTTTGTATGGTTCAGAGAACAGTGGTCCTGAAAGTATGCCTCCTGTTGGTGTCTTCTGGGACATTGAAAACTGCAGTGTGCCCAGTGGTCGCTCTGCTGAAGCCGTGGTGCAGAGGATTCGCAGCTGGTTCTTCCAGGGACACAGAGAAGCAGAGTTCATCTGTGTCTGTGATATCAGCAAGGAGAGTAAAGCTGTCATCCAAGAGCTCAATAACTGCCAGGTATCTACAGGAGTTACAGTTCCCAACATGCCTTGGTTATGTGCATTGTTTTTCTGAACTACTCGTGGCACTGGAACCTTTATTAATTACCACACGCTTAAGGCTTTGTTGTTGTGGTTTACATATTACATATGTTTACAGGAATAGCTGTTATTCCAACGTTGACTCCCTCCATACTGCATCAAGTTATCAGCTTATATTTTTGTCTTCCAAAAAGCAAGAAACACGTTTGGTTTTAAATTAAAAACCAGATTTGTGGCTACCAGGACTTGATGTTTTTGTGTCGACTTGATCTCTCTGATGCTTGTTTGCTTTTTATGTTTTCTAACAAGTCTATTTTCTGATTAGGTGGCTTGAGTAAAGTTTTATTTTAATATATATTCATTTGGATTTCCATCAGGTCACGGTTGCTCATATTAATGCCACTGCAAAGAATGCTGCTGATGATAAACTTCGCCAGAGCCTAAGACGATTCGCTGACACACACACTGCACCTGCAACTGTCATACTGGTGTCCTGTGAGCTGCTTTGTTTTTTTTGTTTTTTAACCAAAAATCACTTCAATCTGCTGTATGGAATAATTTTGAATATATTTAGTTAGGTTGTAATTTCCTCTATCAACAGCTGATGTGAATTTTGCCAGCGAGCTGAGTGATCTGCGCCATCGCCACGGATTCAGAGTGATTCTGATCCATGGCAGCCACACGTCTTCCTCTCTGCTGCAGCACGCCCACCGCCATGTACCCTTTCAGCAAGTTACCGCTGATCTGCCTCAGCGTTTGTTCATCAAATCGCAGGTAAGCCTCGGTATCATATGCCTCAAAGGCCTCTTTTTTTTTTTTTTTTCTTTCTTTTTAAGCCTTGTTGTATCTAATGAGGTGAGTTGGTTCTCACCCAGATTAAATATAGGAGAAATTTATTTTTTGGATGGGATGTTGTAGAAAAGCAGAAAATGAATCGGTTTTATTTTCTTGCAGACATTATTGATCTGCAGTGCTCGTGGAAGGTTTTTCATTACACAGCATCTGGCAAACCAACAATTTGCCAGAAGCTGTGTAGAAGATCCAGCCAGCAAATTGAAGAAGGTTCTCTGGTTAGATAAGACAAATGTTTAGCCCTTTGGCTTGCATTCAAAATGTTTTGTGTTTGGGGAAACTTGCAGTGAACCCCAGCCTTAATCCATTGTTCCTACTAAAAGGTGGTGGCAGGATTGCCTCTATGTGGCAACACTTTCCTTTAGTTTAAGGAGAGAAAATGGTTAAGCTTAAGGGGAAGATCAGGAAACTGTGGTGGGAAAAACAGGTTGGAAGTTGGGAAACCCCCTGGTTTAAGTTTGCATTAAAGCAGCACAGCAAGTTCAAAGTTGAAAGCTTTTTCATATGTTAGAATGGCCTAGTCAAAGTCCAATCAAAAACCAGTCCTTGGCAGTAGTAGAAAACTAGTGTTTATTCAGTCTGACTGCGGTTGAGTTAAATCAAGATGATGCAATACAATGAAGTTGTAATGTGTTGTAGATAAAGTTCCAGGTGAGTTAAACACTCTGTTCCGATTACGGCTTTAGGCAACTTAACATATTAAGTTCTAGCAAACAATAAAGTGATCTGTTTTAACTATTCCTTTAGAGTCTTTTGTCTTTGTGGCCATAATATAGCTGTTTGTTAAAGTTGAGATGAATAAACTATCGGGTTAAGAAATGGTTTCACTCAGCTTGATTAAAGCTACCCTGTTTTTAAATCGTTCAAACCAGACAGGCACCATGTCTTTTCCTCCCCTCCCTCAGCCCAGTGTCAGCTTCCTCTATGTGCACAACCTCCCCGTCATCTCTGACAAGACCCTGCAGAATGCTGTGAAGCTCAGGCTTCGCCGCCTGTCAGACAACTGTGGCGGCAAAGTGCAGAGTATGTCCCAGGGTACAGCGGTCCTCCGTTTTGGCAACCAGGAGGCGGCTGCTCGGGCCCGCAAACGAATGGATAACGAGGATGTGTTTGGCTACAGAATCAGCCTCTCTTTCTCACCGCGGACCAGAGACGATGTTGGTTCTGAGCCTCAGCTTCAGACTGAGCCCCGGCCCTTCCAAACCAAGGTGTCTATGCTTGCCCCTTTCCCATCCATATCTTCCTCCTCTTTCCTGCCCCTGGAGAAGCCAAGATCACCCAGGAGGCCACGGCGAGCCACCCGCCCCTTTGCTGCCTCTGGGCTGGTGCCAGAGAGGCCCTACAGCCCCAGGAGGGGTTCCAGTGGGCCTCCCGGCGGTGCTCCAGCCAAACCGCATCAGGTCAGCAGACTCCTCCATGCCTGCCACCCTCCAACATCTCCTTGTCTGGGCTGCCTTGTAAATCGCAGTAGCTTGTCTTCCCCTCAGTGTTCTTGTGATTGCTGCTTTAACTAACAGCTTGTTGCTGCATACTCGCCTTCATACGTCTGCCTCTGCTAGCTATGAGCAGTAGAGTCTGTCGACTACCCTGCATGTTCATTGATCATATAACAGCTGCTGCATTGCTTTAGTGCTTGTGTTTTTTGTTTTGATTTATTTTTTTTTTTACATGAAATCATACTTTTTATTAACTATCTTGTATTTTACATTTTTGTTTTAACCTTTCCTGTTTTTTTTTCTCATGTTTTTCATTCTGATGTGGGGGCCTTTAAAAAAATTTTCATTTGTTTTCAATCAATTAGAAACGGGGCCTTTAAACCATTCATTTTTGAATTTTAAAGAAAAGGTCAAACCAACAAACGGATCGGTACCTGCTTCTTGATATCTTTTAAATGGGATATAAAAATTCCTCTTGACCGTATCATCTAAATAACAAAACTGCACATCCCTGTTTTTACCTTTGGTGTTCTGTGAAAGTCTTCCATCTAATTTCCATACATCCTTTAAAAAAAATCACTAACTTGACCATCTTTATTAATAATCTTTTCTAACATAAAATATCCTCTGAATCCTGATATTAAAAGCTCTTGTCCTGTTTTTTGATTTAGGAGACTAATATGGATGGAAAGTCCAGGGTGGGCCTGGCCCACCTGGATAGGGGGCGTGCTGCTTCCTCCTCACCTCAGAGGAGGGAGACAAGAGCATTGGAGGAACAGAGTAAGACTGACCTGACTGGAGAACCTGTAGACGATAAGAGGTACACGCAGAGATGGATCACAATCCTTTTATCTGATAACTAGGAATAGCTCTTGTTTTCACACCATGAACCGGTGTGGGGACTTTTTAATTGCAATATATATGATTTGTGTTTTTCACAATAAAACCTGAAGGACTTTGTGCTTTATTGCTGCTCGCTGATGGCATCAGATGTTTGCTAGAGAGCAGCTTGCATGATGAAAACCAACTGCAGGGGTAAAGTACGGGATTTAAAAGGATGGTTTGATTTCCAAATTGTACCCCTAGCTTGTGCTAATGAAGATTCTCAGTCATCCAGGTCATAGTCATTCCGTAGAAGTTTTTAAAAAACAAAACAATCCACTGGACTTGGTTTCCAATATTTGAAGACGTTTCTCAATTAAAATTCAGACATTTGAATTGAGAAAGCTTCCTGGAGGGGAAGTGAAACGTCTTAAAATCTTGGAAACCAAGTCCAGTGGATTGTGTTTTGTTTTTTTGTTTTTTTTTTTTTACTTTTACGGAAAGCGGTACCCCTAGCTTGTTTTCCCCTGGTCAATCTATTGCAAATTTTATCTGAAAATCTGCAAAAGTCCAGTATAAACAGCATTTGATGAATGCTTTGTCTAGATAAAACCAAAACTGAACACTTCCTGGAAACTGCTATATGGTGGCAAAGCAACATTTTACTCCACTTCATAATTATATACTAGTTCATTACATTAATGATTGTAATGTAACTGGTTTTCTATGATTTTCTTTTGGTGTTTATCACCAGTAGAGATATTGGTGTTAATGTTGAAGTTGTATGCTCAGATTTCCGACAAACTCATTTGGTAGCCTAAAATGCCCCTCCCTTTTTTTCTGTTTAAAAGGGAGGGTTCCAGTCCTCGAAGGGTAACCGGCTCACCTGTTACTCAAAGGGTCAGGAGCTCAGAGTTCAAGATTAGCACACCCTCAGCCTTCAGCAAGCTGAATCTGAATAGGAGCTTCAGCCCCATGGTCCCGTCTCAGGGGTCCTGGTCCTCACGGTACTGAAACTGCATGAATATAATTCAACACTTTTATATTAATAAAACTGTTAATGTAAAAATATTGAGTTTATTTTTTCTACATCTTAATCTTTTCCCTCCTCCAACATAAAGGAGCGGGTCCCCGTGCCTGTCCAGCCGTTCATCCCCTCTGCTTGCAACTGCTCGCAGCTCCTGCTCTGAAGGTCTGTCTCAGCCTTTCTCTGAGGGGACGGAACTCCAGGTAGCCAACCTTGACTACAGAATGTCCCGTAAAGACCTGCAGCAGATACTGCATGACACCTTCTCCAGATATGGACAGGTAAGATTTCCTATTTTGTACAGTTGTGTCGATGACCGCGTTTGGAATTGCAGGTCAGTAAAAAATGTGTTATGCTTTCTGCATTCAAACATTCCTGCGCTGTACCCTCCTTTTATTATGTCTAGGTGAAGGCTGTGGATCTGAGCCCTCACACTGATTATCAGCTGAAGGCCACGGTTCAAATGATGTCCCTGCAGCAAGCCATCAGTGCTGTCAGTGGGCTGCACCGCTATAAGATTGGAAGTAAACGCATCCAGGTGTCTCTGGTCACCGGTGCCAACAACAAATCACTTTCCTTGCTCAGGTACAGTTCATTTCCACATGAGCACATAGAAATGCAACTGTGGATGTGTTGTTTCTGACGAACCTCTAATGTTCCTTATTACACTTTACAGCACTGAGATCATTTGCATTCTTCAGGATGCTCCTGCTAACTGCCTTCCTCTGTTCAAACTGGCTGAGATCTATGAGAAGAAGTCAGTATTCTTCTCAAATCATGGTATTTAATTGATGTCTAACCTGTAAAGTAACAATATACTTATTGTCTCCTTGTTTTGAAGGTATTTCCGTAAACTCTCCATTGGCGATCTCTACAAGTTATCAGATGTGCTCTCAGTGCGAGAACAGGGAGGCTCCAGACTAGTTTGCCTTCTCCCCAACATCCGAATTCGTCAGAGTCCATTGGGATCTTCTCAGTCCCAGGAAGCCTCGTCCTCTGCAAGTGGGAGTCCTGTTGTGTTTGAGGAACTCGAGTACCACGAGCCTGTTTGCAGACAACATTATGCTAAGCAAGACTTCAGGTAAAGAAAAAGGTTCATGCAACAGCTTGATCATCCAGACCCATCTGAACCTCCTTAGACCTTTATTCTTCCATGGCAGCAGATTTTAATGTAGTTTCTATAAGTGTATACCATTGGATGTTCGGTTAGTAGGTTACTTTCTTCATAGTCATATCAGTGGTTGTCGACTAAAACGTTATTTTCAGGGCAAAATTATTTTAGTATACTTGCATAAAATAAGAGATTCAGGAAAAAGCCGAGATGCATGTATAAACTTTGTGTATTAGCTGTGTAATTTAAATAGCTTTTTTTTTTTTAAGCCAATTATCCTATAGAGCGTTGATTTACTAAAATTACACTTCTAAGTTGTTCTCATTGGGCTGGTTCAACCTACATATGAAGAGAAAGATAAAAGTCTATCCAGTTTAACCAATCCATTACAGTGGTTATCAGAATCAGCAGTACCACAAAGCTGGTTATCAACTTGCTAATTAATCATGAATCTTAGAATGCACACACATTAAGGGGTGGGTTCGGGGTTAGTGGGGTGGGGGGTGGGTCTAAATGAAAAGTCAAACATGGGGAACGGCATCAAAGAGATGTCAAATGAAGTGGCAGGGGATTGCTGACTGTAAATGTGAAAGTTACACATCAGTGACATTTCTCTCAAGCATGCATGCATCCCAATGAACTGCATATTAATAATGTTCCCCTCTGGAGTGAAGAGGAATTTGGGGGGGGGAGATAAAAATAAAACACTTATACATTATTTAATCTGATTAGTTGGACTTTTTAATTCAACAATTTATGGGCTACAATAAAGGTGGAAGCTGATGTCATGATTATATTGATACAAGAAGGGTTTCATCTGAGTGACATTTTTTTTTTTTTTATTATTTCAAAAAATAAAAATTTGTAGGGAAGTCAATTTAAATGTCAAATCCTTCTGGCTTAAACATGTATATAAATGTACTCTAGCAGACGGTATTCTCCCAAAATTTAGAAAATTTCTATTTAAAAAAATCCTGTCTTAAAATCTGCGGGGTTTTTTCATTAATTTATGCAGACCAGTTAGTTGTACACCTAAATTCTGCCAATCATATATCAATGGTCATCTGTCAATCACATTTTTCAGTCATGGCATTTTGATTCATATGTCGCAGCTAATATACGCAACGATTGAAATAAGAAATATGAATCATTTATTTTACCATTGCTCATATAATAGTGATCCAAATGGTCTTCTCAAAGATTTAATGTCAAAAAGGAGGAAAAATAAATTGAAATGAAATGAAAGGGCACATCATTGTTTTCCAAAACAGCTATTTGGCTGCTGGGTGGAGCATTTTCTAGGATTCAGATCAATCCTGAAGGCTAGCCTGCCCCGGAGCAGGTTTGCCGTTCAGAGTACATTACCATGGTAACTAGCCTTGCTGAGAATAAATTCAGCTTCCTAGTACCAGAAAGTCAGGGTTGAGGTTGAAGCAGGTCGCTAAGCTAGTAATCAAGCTTTGTGGTACTACAATACTAATGCTATTATCAACTATCCCCACAGCATGATGCTACCTCTACCGTTACATATTGGTCCTTCCTAAAATCGGGCAGGGAGGTTTGGGTTTGTGAATAGTGATGGAAGGCATTGTATAACTGTTGTAGAAAAGCACTTTTACTAAGGGATCTTTCTTTGATTGCAGCGAAGCTGACTTTGACCCTGAATCCTATAAAATCCCCTTTGTGGTGATGTCACTGAGCAGTTTGGCCTCTGATGTTCACAGTCTTCTGCAGATTCATGACGGCACTCTTCCCCTGCTCAGGTAACGACAGAATTCGCAAGTTTCGCAGAACGTGTCTTTGGGGCACATCAGAATTAAGTTTTTTTTTTTTTTCTTTTTTTTTCTGTTTAAATTTCAGCTTTCCTGACTGTTATGCGGCTAAATTTAGCCCTCTGCAAGTCGGAAATGAGATGCTAGAGGGTGCTGTTCCTCTGGAGCATCTGATTACTTGTGTTCCTAGTATCACCATTGTAACCGCTCAGAATGGTTTCAAGGTCATCAAGTGGATCCATAACAAACCACCTGCACAGAACTCTGGTAGGAATAGAAATAATATTGGATTTGTCTCCGGGACTCACACTCTTCACATGAGAGTGTCTGGAAACTTATCAAAAGTATCTTTTTATTTATTTTTTCCTGCAGAGCCATGGATTCAGCGATGCAAGAGCCCGGTTGGCAATCCACAGCTCATCCAGTTCAGCAGAGAGATTATTGACCTGTTGAAGAGTCGGCCATCTTGCCTCATACCAATCAGCAAATTCATACCTTCATACCACCATCACTTTGCCAAACAGTGCCGGGTCTCTGACTACGGCTTCTCAAAGTTACTGGAGCTTCTGGAAGCTGTTCCTCATGTTTTGCAGGTGCTTGTAAGGGAGGGAAAAGAAACTCTCAATAATTTCCCTACACTTCAATTGTTTTAATGCTATATTTTATTTCATTTTCCAACAGATAATAGGAATGGGTACCAAACGTTTACTGACCCTTACCCACCGAGCACAAGTGAAGCGTTTCACACAAGATCTTCTTAAGTTGCTCAAGTTTCAAGCTAGTAAACAAGTGGCAATCAGGGACTTTATGCAGGCATACCATTGGTCAGTAACCTTTGCAACAACGGCTTCCTTATCTGTAAAAAAATAGCTCTGATTACATGGTTGGTACTTTAGATTAACTACTTACTTTGTCACAGGTGTTTCTCTAGAGACTGGAGGGTAACAGATTATGGGATATGTGACCTGATGGACCTGCTGGCTGAAATCCCAGACACAACAATCACCATCACACACCAGACCACAGACACAGTCATCTCTGTTCCTAAGAGAGGTCAGTGGGAATCCAACCAGTTATTAATTTTGGGGCAATAGAAATGGCTGTTGAAATACCCAAAAATATTTTACTTGGACTGTTTGGAGCAAAACATCTGTTTCCATTAGATCCTAGCTGTCAAGAGAACAGAAACTGTCAATGTGTGACAACAATGATGGGATATAGAGAGGTGAGAAGGCTGAGGTTCAGACCTTTAAGATGAAACATCAGAGTAAGCCTCTATCAATCTAGGTTTTGTTTTCTCATAAATGAGCATCTGAATACTTTGTGCTATTACCACCTCCCTCCTGTCCATCATTTTAAAACACAACAAATATTTTTGAAAAGGTGCTGTAGTCAGATTAGACCAAATCACATCACGCAAAACAATAGACAAGTTTAAGTGTAAACATATAATCTGTGTCCATTTTCTATGGTTTATTATCTTTGCTGCTCCCAGTAGGACTAATAAATGTTTACAGACATGTTATGAGAGGATTGATTTTCAGTTTGATTCCGCGTAATGTGTGCCTAACCTCCATGTATGTGAAGGAACACTCCCACTGATGGTCACCATTTGCACCAAGTGTTTGATTTAGATTCATTCCTCACTATACCTTTTCGTTTTAATACCCGAAAAGTGTCCTTTTGGGGTTTTTTTATCTCCACATTTTTTCCACTTGTGTAAGTTTTTATGATTTCTATCTACTGCTTTGTGAAATCTTAATTTCCCATCTGTGAGACGATAAAGGCATTTATTATCTTTAGGGCTGGGTACCGAACTTCGGTTCTTTTATGGTACCGACCAAAATGCTTCGGTTCTACAGAGTATTGAAACATGCCTCGTCTTTCGGTACCAAGTTTCGGTGATTGGCTGTAACACTTAACGTGATTGCGTCATCCAGGAAAAATACACAGGTGGTCACGCCTACAGCCAGGGTTCATGTGTATCTGTTGTGAACTGGTTGTGAGCGTCGTAGAACCCCTTTAAAATGCCCCCCAGGTCAAAAGTGCGGCTTCACTTTATTAAGACTGATGCCAATAGTGCGCAATGCAATACATCGTGCACGGAAACAATTTAAGAGCAGAAAGTTGCTCGGTGTTTGACTGCAAGAAGAGCGGACCGCAGCCGGCGCAACCATCCTCCTCTCAGCAGCCCGTGGGCGGAGCAAAGCCAGAGCGGAGTGAATAATGCGAGACACTCTTGGAGAATGCTGCTTTCAAACTGGACACAGCAGGAGCTGCAAAATCACGTCTGATGCTTCCTTTTTTGCTGCTTGTACCGGCTTCTGACGCGCGGCTGAAGAATCTTTGCTGCTCTGGCTGCGCTGTCGAAAAGTGGCTCTGACGCGCGTTGGGCGGAGCTACTCTATCCTTTCTTTGCCTTGCAGCTATATTTGCTGTGATCAGGGGGAATAAAGTAGTTTTATTATGTTTTTAACTGGGAAAATCCACCTGAAAACTTAATCAGTGCAGTCAGTTCATCCTGCCCTCCAATATTTCTGTCGGAGCCGCTCAGACCCCCACATACCAGCGGTGCGCTGTCAGTAGGATCCCATTCAACGGGCTTGTTTGTCAGACATGGTAATTTTTCTAAAGCAAAACTGCTAAGTAAAAAGGTCCTCACAATGTAACAGTGAATATTAGACACTGATTTTTTTTTTTATGTAAGAGGAAAAATGTAAATGGAAAAATCAGAGCTTAAAATAAAACTCAAGATTTGTAATTTTTTATGTTGTATAATTTCTTTTTCTTCGAATTGATATTATAAAACTGGTATCGAAAAAAGTATCGTTAAGGAACCGGTATCGAAGTGAAGGTATCGGTATTGGTACCGGAACCGAAAATTTTTGAACAATACCCAGCCCTAATTATCTTTGAGCTCAAGCTTTTTGTAGAGAATGACAGGAACCTAGAGGCAAGAAGATCAAATACTAACCCTGCTTTCCTTTTCCAGATAGTTATGTCTAGTAATGGTTATTCCTTTTGTTTGTTTATTTAAAAATGTGCTTTCCAGAGCGTACTGCGGAGGAAGTGGAGCGAACCAAGCAGTTTGGAAAGGAGGTAGTGGACCTCCTCCGCCATCAGCCACACTGTCGAATGCCGTTCAGCAAGTTCATTCCTACCTACCACCACCACTTCGGTCGTCAGTGCAAGCTCAGCTACTACGGCTTCACAAAGCTCATGGAGCTTTTTGAAGCCATCCCAGACATTCTGATGGTAAGGCAGCAGCGCTGCTGTTTATTTAATGCCATACTTTAGAAACCAGAAATATACTGTGGGCAGAAACGTTTTCAATAAATTACCTATTAAACATTTTCTTCCCTTACCAGGTCTTGGAATGTGGTGAGGAGAAAGTGCTGACTTTAACAGAGGTTGAGCGTATCAAGGCTCTGGCAGCCCAACTAGTCAAGCTGCTACGGGCTCAGAAAGATTTCAGTCTGTCCGTCAGCCAGTTTCTCCCAGAGTACAGCAAGACCTTCGGTTATGGTCTCCGTCTTCAGGACTATGACGTAGCGTCGGTGCCCGCTCTGCTGACCAAACTCTGCCATGCTGTCAAGGTAAAAAAAACTAAAAATCTGAAAGCATTTGTTCTAAATCCTAATTTCTGCCGAAATGCAGGGTGCTTTAGTTAAAAGGGTAGCATCAAGTCCTGCCTATGAGTTCCATGTTCGTATCATATTTGTAACAGATATTTTAGTTTTGTTGATGTGTCCGTGAAGCCAGGGCACCATCCTGTTTACAGTACAGGTGTCAACTGGTGTCTGACCTTGTTGCTCAGATGGTGGACGGCTCTGAGGGTCGCATAGTGCAGCTGATCAACAGGAAGTCTCTACGTCTGCTGACCTCTCAGCTGTTGGCTCTGCTAATGTCCCAAGAAACTCATCAAGTATCAAAGGGAATGAAGGTGGATGAGCTGAGCATGCATTACATGAGTATTCATGGAACCCAGCTGAATCCTTGTGAATATGGGTTTCTGTCTCTGAGCGAACTGCTAAAGAGCCTACCTTACCTTGTAGAGGTTGGATTCCAATTTCTTTTCAATACAACTTAGGGTTTTTTCATTTTATTCTATTCTGCCTAAACAACTAATGGCTAACTGTTTTATTCTTTCTTAGTTGTACTTTGAAGAAAATGGTGAAGATTGCAGCTCTGCTGGCGGTCATGGGGTTGAGTGGGTGAGGTTAACCAGGCTTTACCAGTTTGCTCGTAACATTCGGGCGCTGCTCCACACCTACCACTACAACCAGCTCTTCCTGACAGAGTTCCAGGGGGCCTACAACAAGTTTACAGGCTGCAACCTTGACCCTCGCTTCTATGGGTACAGCACCACTGATGAACTGCTCGGCGCTATTCCTCAGGTCCATGACGATTTTTTCTTTTTTTTTTCCTTTTTCTTCTTTGGGGGCTGTTTGCTATAACATGCTGTTGTGTTTTCAGGTGGTCTGGATCAAAGGACACGGTCATAAGAGGATTATCGTTTTAAAGAACGATATGAAAGGTGAGTTTCTGACTGCGGCTCATTTAGGTTCCGTGAAGGGATGTGACAGAAGTCCAGGCTGCATTTTGACCCCTTTTAGAGTGAAAAAGATGTTAGATGAGTGAGAAGAGAACATGGAAGCTGTAAAATGATACATTGTTTCTTTTTTGTTTTAGCAAAGCCAAGCTCTTCAGTTCCTAACAGCCCACAACCGGTAGACATGGAGAGTCCGAGGGACAGCCCCATCAGCAGCACATCAGGAACACAAAGTCCAGGTATCCCTCACACAAGTGATTAGTTGAAATGCTGTCTATTTTGAATCTGATGGAGTTTCTTATACACTCTAATATAAAGGTATAATGGCTTCAATATGTGTGACATAAAACACATACTAGACACAATTCTAGTAGTTCTACTTCTTGCTGTGAAACCAGTTCAGAGTTTCTGTCTTTATAACTGTTGAATCGCTCCTATCAATTGGGTGGTCCATCAGTGCCATATGAGGGATGACCACCCACACCCTAATCCCACATCCTAACCTCTCTTTTACCATGACGTTTTGCTTCTGAACCATTCTTCCTGCAGCGTGCACCAACGCTGGTTCAAATTCAGACTGTTCTCCAGACATGTCATTGTCTCGTCCAAACCTTCTTTAAACATTCAGCTTAGTTTTTCTTTAGCAGTGGAGTCTTGTGCAATTAATTTTGTGGATTTTTTAAATTGCATTTAATCCATGACTTTGTTTTTATGTGGGGATTCTATCCGCTGTCTCCAGGTCTTCCTCAAGCTTTGCAGTACTTTGACTCTTGAGCAACTCCTCTGCCCCTGACCAAGGCTGATTTGTTGATTGGGATTATCATTTGCAGTAGAGCTCGTTTTGAAAAGTGTAGCTTTAGGAGTTATAATTAGTATGTTTTTAAACTGTAAGAAGATAAGAAGTCATGCATCTCTGTGCAGTACTTTTTGTAATAAACTGCCCTTTTACATGTCATCAGTTTAATACCTGCACAGATTTTTTTCCCAGCTGGTTTCTTTGCCATCTATGCCATTTTTCCATACACTGAACTTCACCCTCTGGATGTTTCTGCATTGATATAATCTGTATGACCATAATTTAGACACTTGAACAAAGGTTTTGTTTTTGCTGACAGGTTGCGATGCTGAATCAGAGCTGCTCCGTCTTACATCACCTGTCGACCTGTTGTGTGGCCCTGTACCGTCCTGCCTGCCGTCACCCCAGCTCCACCCTGACCCTGTTCTCCTTCAGCAAATGGACCTGATTAACTTTGAGAAAACACCCCCCCCACAACCCTCAGCAGGTCAGTTTGATATTTTTTTTTTTCAGTCATGTAAATGTTTGTCCATACCGACATAAAAACTGCCAACATTTGGGGGTTTATTTTGCATTAGAGCTGGAGTCTGTAGAGGAGGCTGCAGCAGATGGTACCTGTGGTCCTCTGGATCAGTCTGGCGTTGAAGACGATTCACCAGCGCTCCCTGATGAGAAGAACACCTTGTCCATGGACAGTCCTGGCAGAAGAGCCTCACGCAGCAGATTTAAACTAGCTGCCAACTTCTCCTTCACAGCAGGCCTCTGATGAATCCATTTCTTTCCAGTTAAACATAAAAGGACACTCATCAGATAACTCTAAATGCAAGAGTTGACCAGCGTCTAATTGATCACTGCCTTCAACATCTGGACAGGCAGGCTGTTGCGTTAATGTTCCTGCTACTCCTTAGCAAGCTTTTTTTCTTGGTTATTGATTTTCACCTAAATATGATGAGATTTTTTTGCAATTCTTTGATTTGCAAACTTATCTGCTGTGTCCTAGCTGTCATCCCAGGAACAGTTGATATAAGACGGCATCCTCAATTTTGAGCCATTGAGAAACTTGAGTTAGTTTTCACTGTATAGTTTCAGTTTGTTAAACTGACACACAGACGGCTTCTAAGATTTGTCAGTGAAACTTTGAAAGTCACTGCTTAAAGACAGGAAAAATTAATCTAAAACCATAATTTCAACCTTTGGAGATCTGACTTGGTTATAAAGGTTATTATGAGCAATCCAGCTGATAAATTGATGCCCACTGGAAATCTTTCTGATTTTTTATAGTATTTCACCTTCGTATGCTCCCCTGTAAGATCTCTGCAGTGTTTTTAGTTCCTTCTAAATTTCGCAGAGTGGCTAATTATCTGTTAAGGAGCTTGGACCTAAACCTGTAGCAGACTGATGAGATGACGTTTTCTCGTTGTTTACCTGCAGCCAGCAGCTATGCATGTTTGAATCTTTTTAGCTGCGTTTCTGCCCCTGTGTGGCTTGCACTGGAGTGGGTAGAATAATATGTGCAACATGTGCATAACTGAGTTTATGCAAGGTGTAACCCCCACTCTAGGAGCAGATGAAAGGAAGATGTTTAAGGTTGGTCTTGATTTCTACCACTAACTACAGATCAGAGCTACCACCTGAGCAGCTGCTATGTAAAGGTTTGTTTTAACCTTTGCCTCTGATGGGCACTGACTCAGTGGTTGAGTATTTGGAGAACAACACACACGCCTGAGTTTTGGGTTTATTTTAAACGGCATAGTGAATGAGTTTTAGAGGAAAGGGGGGCCGTGTGCTGATGGATTTCAGATTCTGGGGGCTCTGAGAAGCCTCTTGCACAGACTGATGCACTCACAGAGGGGCCCTCCGCGCCTCGCTGGAACCTGCCGGGCTTTTACAATGGCTTGTATTTGCCACGGTGCTGAAACACAGTGCCATCATCCACCCCCCCTTTTGAGGAAGAGTATTTTTACCTTACAGGCGTGTGTTGATCTCTCAGATATTGTTTTTTTCTTCTTTTCCTTTTCACACACTGGCTGCTGGCTGCTAAAATACCTCGAGACATTGGCGGCGCATGAAATTTGGGGCACATCAGACGTACCGTGAAGCTGCTGTTTGTCTTTATTATAATCCTTTTAGGAAATGGGTCACAGCCTACTGAGTTTTGGAGTTCTTTATATTTGTACTGGGATTAGTCTGTTTAATGCACTCTACAGTATATATATTGTTTTTTACTTTGTGTTAATCATTCATCACAAATCAGAGAGTTTTTAAATGTGGCTCTAATTGCTCATTTGTTTTGCAGAGTTTTAGAGACCAGCTAACAGATGAAGGAATCACCACTTCAAACTAATTGTAAAAAAAAAAAAAAAAAAAAAAAGCTTAAACATACCAAAAAACTGTCTATCTACATTTGAATTTAGCCAAAGGACTTAATTTCTTTGTTTGAACTACAGTGACAACTAACTCATGTTATGAAGTCTTCGCTTCCGTTTACTGACGACCCGCCGTACCTGTGAAAATATGCACCTATGCATAGTTTTAGTTGCTGAAATCCATGTTTGAGAAGGTGTTTGAGTTTGTTTCTCCTAGTTATTCTACAAAGTATTTTAAGGAACTTTATTAATTCAACTGTTTCCTCTGGAAAACAGTTGAATTAATAAAGCGTTGTTACCCTGAATGTTTTGTTTACCTGCTTATTAACTGTTAGTGATTTCTCGTCTAGTCCTCTTTCCCTTCCCTCCCTCATCGTTTTGCTGCCTTGCTGCACCAACACTGGTTGCAACAATTCAGTGATGTTGAAGTGACCAAAAAGAATCCATTAAAATTCACGAGCATTTGTTGTTTCTTTGGTACTTTTGTATGTGAACCGGGTTCTAGATGCACATTACTAAGGTAGAAAGTTAAACTTTGCAGAAAGTTTAATTGAAATTAAATGCAGAGGGATGTATATCAACTTTATAGACAACAATACTCCAACTGTGGTTTTTAATCAGCTTCCTTTGCTGCTAAATCATTCATTGATTAAAAATAAGCTGTTGTAAATTTGGTAGTATGGCAGTGTCCAGGTTGCACATACAGCAGGGAAATTAAGTAAGGTTTTCTAGACACTGTAGAAGGAAGCATAAAGTGTTGCACAAATCATCACTGCCTGGAAATGTCACACTTTTATGTCGCATGCAACATGGATTCTTTGCCCCTTTTCCCCAGACTATAGACTTCTTTTTTTTTTTTTTCAATATAAATAGAAGTTTGGACCGCTGACCAACAGTTTAGTTGTTACTGATGTCCTGATATGCCTGAGCAGTGGCTCTGAAGCAGGAAGTGCAAAAATAAATTCTGCAAAGGACCAAATCATTTGATTCAGGCTCTAAAACTCTGCTTGTGCATCTTTTTCTTAACACACTTTTTCTTTTCACTAAAGTTTTTTTTATAATTTATTGTAAAGCCCAGTGTGAACAACCAACTCCTTCAGCAGTTTTGCGCCATTCCTTCCTTAGGTTCTCCTTTGCACATCCGTCAGTCTGTTTCATTCTTTGAACTAAATTACTTAAATAAATGTAAGACATTGTATTAAAAACACACCTGTCCTTGGGCAGAACAAACACAATACAGTTTGTTTTTGAAAGATGCTCTTTATTTAAACATATATTTACAGGTAGTTTCAGCTTATTTTCTGCATATTTGACTTTTTATTAGTAGGACTTTAATAAATTCACTACACTTAACAGGAGAAAAATGTGATAAGAGTGCCTAGCGTCAAGCAAACTGTTGAACTAAGATCCTAAATACACTCAAGCACAGTCTATTTGAGGCATTTACAAGAGCGTCATTCCTTCCCTGGTTAACATACAAACCGAAGATTAAATTTAAAGACTGACTGTGGTTTCAAGTGTTTTATGACCAACCTAAATGAAATGGTACTCTGTTGATTTAGAAGATACTCTGCAGAATGAAGAACAGTGAGAAAATATCATGACAGAGGCATTTACAAGCATCAAACTGGATTTTAGTCATTTAAAAAAAAAAACATGACAGTTAGCATTCCTCTGTGTGTTTGCATAAAATAAAAGCACAAAGAGCAGGTAAACACCAACTCATCATCTGGCCATTCATTTTAGGTGATTTACATCTTTAATTAGTCATCAAACTGAGCTGTTTTATGGAAATCATAATTGTGCATTACATGGAAACTAGAAATTAGCAGCTTTTTAGTCATGACCATGGAAACATAAGGTGTTTAGCAGTTATTCATTTTAATATGCCTGTCAGAAAAGAAAATGTACTTTATCACTTTAACAGTAGCATTTAGATAATTGTGGTTCCCTGATGTAAAATGTTCATTTGAATCTAACATGCCTATCCTGATGTGTTGAATTAACCAGTAATACTAGTTTATTATCTCAAAATAATGACTTCATCATTAGATTGTTATATAACAGCTACGACACAGAAAGATTAAATGAAACATGAGCTACATTATCACTTGAAAGCAGAACTCAACCAAGCCCTGATACCAAGATTAAAATTAAGCTTTATTTACTGAACATTATGTGTTAAGCTGAGATGATTGATGATTAAATCCAGAGGAAATAAAATGTGTCATGTCATATGTGTCCCATAACTCTGTAGAGTTTGTACATTGGGGTAATGGGTGTGAAATTGAGTGCATTTGACTAAAGACTGTATTATTAATATTCTTTCCATGTGAAGGATTAAAATGTGAATTTTAGGATTAACATTTACTATTCATAGCTCTTCCAAGCTTTCAGTATACAGAGTAGGGTATATCTTCAGCAGTGCAGAGAAAGCATCTGAGTGTTGTAGCAAAAGCTCAAGTAATTGTCTTTTAAAAAGTTATTGGTTCAGAGCTATGACATTTAACTAACCTATTTATAAATCCTGTATTAGTGGAATATGTTTGCTATGAGAGCCTAGACTAGCTGATCAGCTTGTGTTTTCTATATTATCAGATGCAATAAGTTATGTAAATACAAAAGGCTAATCAAATAACAATTCTATTAAAGGATGGGGAAAAAACTGCCATTCAAACTAAACTATTCCTAGTGAAAAGAGGAAGAATTAACTGTCAATTGACATTTTTCTTGTTATTTTATTTTGTTTGGCTGAGTTTTCAAAAAGCTGAAGCTCGATGATGGCCAGACCTGCAGAATCAAGCAATTGCTTAAGCAGCACTGGTGTTAAAACATAAAGTAGCCTAAAAGTGGTCAACATACAAGACCAATGATAAGAGGTTCTACATAGGACAACATAGAACCTTTGTTGAACTGCTGCATCTGGCCAAAGCATTATTTCAGAAAACATAAATCGTACAGTGAAACATGGCAGTGAAGGTATGATGGTCTAGGTTTTTTTTTTTTTTTTTTTTTATCCATGTGCATTTATATGAAGAAAATAATGAACCCTGAAGAAGAGGTTATTGTTCCATGACCTTAAATTCAAGCATCTCAGAGTTTGACAGGACAACCTCAGAAAGCCCACCTCATAATAGTTAAAAAAATAAAAATCAAGGTAGTTGACATCTGGCATAAAATCCAGTTCAGCTTGATTAAAGATGCAAGAATATCAACCGAATTAAACATTTCTTTGGAAAACTACTTGGTGCTGACATAGTAAGTTGTTGTTTTTGAATACAGGCGGGTTGGTTTGGGATTTTGTTCTTACTAAATAGGTTTTGTAAAAAATCTCTTTTCTATTTAGTCACATTTAATCTGAAACATTTGAGTGTGACAAAGAGGAGCAAATGCAGAAGAGTGTTTTGCTACGAAGTAGATGAGGTAAAAGATGTCATGAAAACAGTAACTAAAAACATTTTTTGAGAGAAAAATTATTTAGCTTTCAGCACGGCGAGATGAACAGCTAGTTATTGTCATTCATGTGTGACGCCCGTCTCCTATTGATAATGTGCAGTAGGGCTGAAACAAATCGGATTAATTCTGATTAATACATTCTTTAAATGAAAGTTAACTAATTTAGTAACTGATTCATCGTTAACTGGATTATAGAGACTGTTGCCTTCAGCTGACAGAGCAACCCACTTAGAAGAGTAACTATACCAAAATTCTAAAAATAAAAATGAGCATTTAATGACAAATTTTTTTTATATTTTCATCTGTCAATATCTTCTACCCATAACTCCTGAAGTGGAAAAGTTTTAGTTTCACCTGCTTTAATTCTATAAAAAAATATTTCTTTGAGGAACCTTTTGACTATCCGATTATTAATCAATTAATAATAATTGAACTTTATTGATCTCACACTGGATTAATTTACCACTGCATTTAATCCAATCCCTTTGGGAGCAGTGGGCTGCCATTGTGCGGTGCCCAGAGAGCAGTGTGGGGTTAAGGGTATTCCTAAGGGACCCAGAGTGGAGGTTGTGGGGATCAAACCAGCTACTTTCAACTTTCTTAGAGCACAAGTGCTCTGCTCTAACCACTAGGCCAAGACTCCCCTAATCAAATCAGATTAATAAAAATATATATAGATTAGCTAAATAATTGTTAGTTGCAGACCTAAAGTACATCTTTGTAGCTTTGGACACTAATTTTTAGCTAACTGACATCAGGTTTGATTTTTAGCAACGATTAGAGTATTCAAGTACACATTTTAAACATGCATGACTTTAGGTTTTATCATATGATTGAACATATGATACAAACCTCATTTCTAAGGTTAGTGTATTTTTTTTGGTAACTGCAGAGATTGTTTGCTTGTAAACTCCTGTGTCGAATGCAGAAAGGTGTCGTTGTAACCTGACCTTTTAATATTGGGTAACAATAACCAACAGAAGAACAAATTTGCTCTTTGTAACAATTAAGTTTTGCAAACTGGGATAATAAATGAGAAGGAAAGAAAATGTTTGGGTTTCTGAAAGAGCAGAGTTTAACTTAATGGATAAAATGTTGATAAATTCAACAATGAGAGGCTTTGTCTTCATATCACAGAACCCCATTAATTACCAATGCAATAGATATTGTGCTTTTAGGCCTTATTTGTCCAATCAAACACATCCTCCCCTTAAAGGAATGCAATATACAGAAATGACCTGATCTGCCTCGGCATAAATACATTAACCATACAGTTATCAGACTTTATTTACAGCATGTTTAGTTCATGTACATTCCCCTGTAGATGTCCCTAAAAGATGCCTCTCACTGTTAACCCCCCCACCTTGAATACTGATCAGGGATCAGTTCCCAGGTGTCTGTAGTTAGGAAGTAGATCTGATTTCTGAAGAGGCTCAAGGGTGATTTCAGCTATCTGTTTTTCTCTGAGAAACAGGAAGTGAGTGGGTCATGTGACAGAAGTTGCAGCAGTCATTACAGAGGTCAGTTACATTACAGCACACTGGGTGGCTCCGCAGCAGTCCTTAATGATGGCCGCCCCCGACTTAGTGATGAATGGTTTGTTGGGTGGTGGATCTAGGATCTGTCGCTTGGGCTTTGGAGGATCTGTATAAAAAAAAAAAAAGGAAATGGAGGTTATAGCATGTATGCGGATAAATTTGGTCAAAGAATAAATGTTGAAGCTCCAATTTACTTGTAGATTTGAGTTTCTGCTCCAGAGGCCTGAGCTTCAGCCTGAGGAACTCCGCCATTTCTTTGTCCTCCTCCTTCTCCCTGAAGAGCGATATGATCATCTTATCAGTGATGCAGTTCAATAAACGTCAGCATTTATCTGACCCGACTGCTTCCAGGGACCCGGTCCAAAGCTGCATGGTTTATTAATGCTTAAACATCGTAGAGCAAATCATTGATTAATTTAATGGTAAGATCCAAACTCATTTCATTCTGTCACTTCCTTCCATTACGTCAAAATAAAATTCTTCAATTTAGAAGTACGGTGTTGTAAAACACCTGGCAGAAATAAAATGACTTGCTTACAGCAACCCTATGATGTGTTAATTGTTGAAGTTAGATCAAATTTGTGGACGGGGAACGTCATTATTTTAGGATGATGACATAATCAATTTTCTTTCTTTTAAAATCAATTTCTCTGTTTTCTTTCTAAAACCAAATGATCTCTTTTCTTTTTTTATTGTATTTTAAACAGGATATAGACCCAACCTCTCCATTGCTGCTCCTTTATGTTGCAGCTTAATTTCTTTATTTATTTTCATTGTCTTTCAAGATTTGTGCAGCAAAATCTTATTTTGTTTTTACTTTGCTGTTGGTCATGTTAAAATACATGCTTTATATATCAATAAATTTCACACCTAGCATAGACTACCATTTAAATCTTAACTGTGCAAACCTAACAGATTCAAATCTGCATTATAGTTTTGCATATGATCTGTGTGCTTTATGCATTAAAAGGTGTTGCAGAATTTTAAAATGAGATTCAACACAATTAGATACCATCAGGATGTGAAGAGTAAATCTGCATTGAAAACCATTCAGAAAAAATCCATTCCTAGGAGGTTTCTAAAGATGTTTGATGTGTATTAAATATTCTTTCTACTTTGCGTTTCTCTCTACCTTGGCATGCTGTTGCAGAGTGAGTCACTAACCCATGTCAGCTTGGTGTGCAATCAATAAATAAAGGAATCCCTTACCCTGGGGTTAGAGGGCCATATTGTCTCCTCCCAGTGATTATATTTAGACTTGGGTCGGACTAATTTCATCTATTTACATAAACTTTCTTTTCTTTACTTGTAAAATAAAATTGTTCTAAAATCTTTTTCTTTTTTATATCTGAATAAACAGATTTAAAAAGCTTTACATTTGACCTGGCCATCTAATATCAAACAAATAAACAACTATATTTACTGGTTCTGTACCTAAGAACCAACGATTAATTACATATCTGTTATTTCATCCCTATGAGCAATTACCTCTTTGTGCAACATGCATTCACAACATTCCAACTGCATGTTACATTCAGACATCTTCAGTCTCGTCGCCTGGTTTTCACTACCATCCTCTCTGTATTACCAGTCTGTAATAAATGTTCAGCTTTGTAGCATCAGCAGTCATCTCAAAGAGACCAAATCCCGGATATTAACTCTGCACATCATGAAGCCTGTACCTTAATCTCTCCACCTCAGCATCATCCACCAGGAAATCCCTTTTCTGCACCAGTTTATGGATCTTCAGGATCAGCTCCTCCTCCCGCTGCTTGTGCTTCTTGTTCTTCTCTTTCTCTTTTGGCAAACAAGATATTTGTATAAATAACAGTGAAGTTGTGCAGCTAGGCAGATTAAAGTTAAACTGTCATCTAAATCCCATCATCACAAACAGATCCTTAATTCTCTTCATGGATTATTTATTACAAATATAGGATTAACTTCACTAGTCTAATAAACTGAGAGCTTCCTTCTAGAAAGAAGATGCTTTTGTAACATCCATGGCCTTGTCTGACCTTCACGCACCAATGCAGCAAATGGAACCACCTAGATCGTATCAAAATGGACACATGCAGCTAAATAAGCATGTAGTGTAAGAATAATAATAATAAAAATCTAAACTATGGAAAAATGTAATGATTCAACTGAAAAGTGAATGCACTGCTCAGCTCCGTCTCCTGTCTGGAAGTAAAATGGGGCAGTGCAGCTGCTAAAAGTATCCCCAGGAGGTCAGGACAACCTGAAGGGTGGAGGGGTGGAGGTCTCCATATGCTACTGAAATAGTGCAAACACAAAGCCTCAGAGGTTGGCACAATGGAAACAGTCATAGTTGTAACTCAGACCACAAATTCCTTTTCATTTCGGAGAAAATTTAATGCAAATCAAAACTCTTAAAGATTCAACTTTTTACAAGAAAATGAAATTAATTGTATAACATAAATCAAATATGTTAATAATAAGCTGTCTTTTTTTTTGTTGTTTATAAAATCTGCAGGACTTTTTATAAATGTGACTCTTTTTTTTTGTTTATCACTAGTTTAATTCTTAAAATGTCTTGTTTTTAATGCTCGATGTGAACCTGTCCTTCAATAAAATGGAAAATGATCATGAAGCTTGTTACACATCCTTACATTCAGTGAATGTGGCCTGTTTTCTTTTTGGCTGCAGCCTTTGTTTTTCAGACATTCACTGAAGGCCACAGAAGCCTTTTCAGGAGAACATAGTCACACAGTCATAGCAACTGTGGAGGAAAAATATAAATCTGCTCGGGTTTGTATAGTCGATGCAGCTCAGATCAAATCCTGCAGCAGAGAGTGATGTCAGGCCATCTGTCTGAGTGATGGGGCTGATAATGATCATCAGAACATGAGCAGAAAAAAACTACCAAAGAAAACCTGTTTTTATGCAGACAACTCATCCAAGTGAGCTGAGCAATTAGGTACATTCTTTGCTTTATGTGTTTCAACACCAGGTTGAAACCAACCATGCAACTAATCTTTATAAGATTGTAAGAAACTGTTTTAGAGTTGAATAATCCAGTTACGTATAAATCCTTATTTTTTTTAGCCTTTATATCTGTGTTAACAGTCATCAATGGTGCTAAGGCTGCTGTTAGACATAAACATCCCATCATGAATGGGTGTTTGCAGCAGATGCCTTCAGAATGTTCAGGTTATTTTCTCTCCCCTGCTTTAAAATTAAACCCACCCTCAGTATGAGATGTCACGGATGTACTGTATGTTATCATGTGCGTCCTTGAACATGACACCCCCCACCCCACCCCGACATATAACCACACATGATGTACAGTCTTTCCCAGGAGACGTCTTTTTCTGCTGTTGCCAGGTTTGATTCATGCTCCCTGCTTCATGTGTCCTATGTAGTTGCTAAGGGAGATGCTGCTTAAGTCAGTGAAACCATCTATCATATATCTACATTAGTATGGAGTTAACCCTATATTAGTTCTTACTCTCATATCTGTCATATTAAAAAAACAAAAATTCTAACCACTAGGCTGTAAAACAAAGGCTAAATTTGTAATATCCCCTGTCTTTAAAGGCCCTTGCAAAATGATTTATAACCTTTAGTTTTTTTCATTACCCCACAATATTTCATTTGAATTTGGTGTTAACACGTTGTGCATGATTGTAAAAGTGAACATAAACAATACCTGGTTTTTCAACTAAAATCTGAAAAAGTTGTGATGTTTATGTACTCAGAATGATTATTAAGAGCAGACTCTATCTGCATAATTTAAACTCAGAGTAAGCGAATGTGTTCTTTGAACAGCATTCATCTGAGAAGTAGAAAAGAGACACGTAACCCTGGGCAACCCACAGAGATCCGCAGCTCACTGAAAAAATGCTTTTCACTCGAAACTAGATAAAATTATTGATTTGATTATGTAAATCATTCTTTTTGGATTTTGAGACATCAACTTTGATTTAACCAGAACTAAATACACGTAGCAAGGACCCAAAACAAAGTTTTTGATTTCTCTCAATATGTATATATTTATTCATGGCCTGCAAGTAATTTTTTCTGTTTGAGTCAAATGTGAACTGCGCTTTGCATGCAGTCAGAGCATGTGATCAAGTCCATGTCCCAGACCATGACAGAGTGGCTCAGTGGAGCAGTGGCTAGCACATCTGCATTGCAGCAAAAAGGTTGTGGGTTTGAATCCCGGCCCAGCATCCTTCTGCATGGAGTTTGCATGTTCTCCCTGAGCATGTGTGGGTTATTGTTTACATCAACATCATATTATCAGGTCAAATATTTCAGATGTGATGTCTGGAAATAATTTTTTTTTGTTTGAGCAAGGTTATACTTTTTCCAGTGCTCAGGTGGGACATGACGGGCATGTAGCAGGTGATCCACAAAGATTCCTTGTGCAAATGAAGAGCCGTGCAAACTGTTTGGTTCTACCTTATTGAAACGAGCAGTCTTTTACAGGCAGTTTGAGAGTGGCCGTAAAGGAAAGAAGAGGTCCTAAGCCATCTAGTTGGGGGTAATAGTAATTTAAATATTTGAGAAATAATAATAATGCTAAATACTATTTATACTGTACTTGACATAGGTAACATATCTCAAAGTGCTACAAATAAAAGTAAAAAAACTAACAAAAAGATGAGAATAAATAAAAGTTAAACTTGTGGTGGAGGTTTTATTAACAGACACAGAGACAGAGCTGAGATAGAAAAGTTTAAATAAAAGCATTATACTGAGTTTGGATGGCCTAGTTAAAGTACCTAATTCCAGTCTTTCTGACAACATCTTCCATCCAGTCTAATTAATCTACAGCCAAGTAAGAATTTAAAGACATTTCAGTCTGTATGTACAAAGTTGAAGTTGTATTAAAAACTGGTTTTAAATCAAATAGCACCTTTTTCAGATTTTATCAGATTTTATTTTAACAACCTTGGACTCCAGTAGGTTGACTTCTGTCATAATTCCTGTTCATAACTGGATTTTTTTTAGGGCTGGTTTGCGGACCAAGAGATTTTGTGACATTGCTCTGCTACCTCTGGCTGAGAACTACAGCATGTGTAACAGCCAGGATGAAGATCAGCTATTCCAAGCTTCTCACTTGGAGAAGTTTAATTATGTTTGTGTCTTCTAAGGAGAAAATTGGACGGGAAACGGACAGACAGACAGATAAGTTAAGCTGCTACAGGGGTGTGAACATCCTCGATTACCTGATGGTTTATGTTCCTACCTTCACCTATTGTCAATAAATCTGGGTCAAGCCTGAAAGAGCAAGATTCCACATTTAAGGTGGCTGGGTACTCCCTTAGAAAAAGGAAAAGCAGCTCAGCCATGCAGGAGAGGCTTGGAGTAGCGCTGCTGCTTCTCCATCCTAAGGAGGCGTTCCAGTCATGTCCCACAGGAAGGAGGCCTAGAGAACATCCCAGGACAGGCTGGAGATACAATGTCTCCACTGGCCTTGGAACACCTCAAAAGTTGATCAGGAAGGTGTCTGGGAAGAAGGATGTCTGAGCATCTCTTTTTGGAGGGCTGCCCCCTTTTCCCAGTACCAGGGAAGCAGAGGACAACAAGTAGAACATAATATTTCTTCTTGCTCTTAATACCTGCGCTAATACACACATATATACACACAAAAGAACTGAAGGGGTACCAACAGTTTTATAAGGCAAGGTAAGCTTTTCAACTTTCAAATTAATCCTCTGACCTTTGCTGTAATCTGTATCTCCTTTGTTGGTGAAGTTCAGATGGAGAAATTATCTTGCATGCATAACGTAAAATCCAATCTTTGTACAGGAGCACAACAGAATATATGTAAGTGTGTATAACTGTACCTGGCACTGAAACAATCTGTCTCAACTCCTGCTTTAGGCTCATGATGTCTTTGCACAGTTGAATGTCGTCCATCCTGAGATAAAAAAAAAGAATAATTGATCAGTGGATACTATCAGATTATTGTTTTATTTAGAGGATCCTGAAAAAAAGTCAAAAACAGACAGAGGCACTTAAAGTCTCTTTCAAAAATTTCAGATACAAAATTCACTTCTGTAACAGAAACGAAATGCTTTGGACAATACTCTGGAATAAAAGACCGTATAACCATGTTTTTGAAAATGTAATAAAATTCAAATGTGACTTTTTTAATTTTATTAATTTCAGACATAAAACTCATATCCAAATGTCAGAAATGTTTTTTTTTTCAGTATGTAGAAGTTTGACAGAATACAATTTATTTTTTCTGAATAGTATAAATATCATGAAGTTAAATCTAATTTCATAATTTCATTTACAAAGAACTTTACTCCCATTTATTTAGCAGCTAAGCCCATTTGCTGACTTTAAAAGAAGATGGGATTCTATGTTATGACATGATTGAGCCTTCTTAGCTCCTGAGGATCAAATTAATTAATGTGATCGGCTGGATTTAGATGATTTTCAGGCTCAGGAAACCTTTTGGAGCTGATCAGCTGATTATTTCATAAACACTCCCACAGAGTTCCTAATATATAACCTTTTCAGAGAAACTCTGGATTTTTTTTTTTGGTTGAATTATTTTTTTAATCTTGCTATATTTCCTTCCAGGTGAAATAAATCTAAACATAGTCATGGAAAGCATTAATAGACCACCCTTGTTTTTTATGTCCAATATATTGGTTACGTGGTTCATACAAAGTTAAAAAAGTAAAAAATTATTATTATCCTATTTTTATATATATTTAAGCAGGAACTGAAAAAGTAGGAACTGACTGACAGAGACTAGTTGTTTTTACACTGATATTGAAAGCTTTTTTCAGATGTTACTAAACCAGGCTTGACTCATCCTTAGGTATCTGTCACAAACCATAAATATGACGAAGAATGATGCAAGAACAAAAATAAAGATATCATTCATCTGGAGAACTCTTTAAAATTCCTGCAGAGATGACATGGCACCCCCCCCCCGACATCCTGCACAGATTTACCTCAAACTGTGAGAGATCAGACCTATGACTCATCCACACCCTCCCTCCTCACTCCTCCTCTCCATCTTCTTACTGTTGCTCTGATTAAAACCCTCCTCTCTCCGCTTTACCTCACTCTTGTTGTCTTTTGTTTCACCTTTCAAATTTTTTCTGTGGATTCTAGCCCCTTTTCCCCCCGATGCCCACTCTGAGTGTGTTTTTTTTATGTTTTCATGTGACGACACCGGCACTTTCATTCTATCACAAACCTTCACACTGCAGATGTTAGAAATTTTACAGTATGATGAAATAAAAAAAATATTTAAACTGACAAATTACACAGAAAAGACATAACTTGGCAATTTTTAACATGGGAAATAAACAGCAGTCAATTTAACTAATCAATTTCCATACCTGACTAACCCTGTTGAATGACACAGGGAGGCTGGAGCTCTCCTTTAATGGTTTAAGGGTAACAGGTGGAGTATCTTACTCCCAGAGAGGTCTCCATATGGAGGCAAAGGACCAACAGCCATTCATTATTTATGTTTGTTTTGCAAATATGAACCTGGAGAAATCCTATTTTGCCTACACACAGGGAGAACATGCAAGCTCCATGCAGAACCCAAAGTCTGTGATATGTACTTCCGGACCTGCAATCAGATGAACACCCTTTGCTATGAATTGTCATGTCAGGTAGTATGAAAAATGTCTGGAAGGTTCTTAAAATTGACTAAATATATAAGGACATTTTACAATTTTTACAGTGTTGGGATGAGAACAGAACATGTAAAAAAAAAAAAAAGAAAGAAACAAGCGTAAGCAGAAGAGGATGGATGGATGGATGGATGGATGGATGGATGGATGGATGGATGGATGGATGGATGGATGGATGGATGGATGGATGGATGGATGGATGGATGGATGGATGGATGGATGGATGGATGGATGGATGGATGGATGGATGGATACCTGTCACTGGTATCATCATGCTTTTTGCTTTAGCGGTTTTTTACTATGTGAGAGACTGCTGCACTTCAAAAAATACAAACGATTATGAGGGAAAAAATAATTTAGGATAATAAAATAAAATCTCAGGACTTCAGTCAGGAAGTTAAAGCTCTGACACAAATTGTTGGATTAATTGTACAAGTTATTCTACTTTAATCATATTATACTTATACATTCAAATTTATACATTTGCATATTCCTGTATACTTGTATTACACAAAGTGTTGAAATGTTTCACTTGCTGTCTTTCTAATGCTTGTTATTAGTGTGTGCAGATGGAGTGCTGGCTGCTCAAGGTCAGCAAGGAGAAAACACGGGGAAATGCACTCACTAACACCGGAGAAAGGAGTGAAAGCTCTTATCTCATGATACTGTATGATGTTATGCAGCCTTCTGGTTCCGACTGGCTTCACCCTTCCCCCTCCCCTTAGCAGTCGGAACCACATTGTAGCCAGGGCGTTTCCTTAATAAAAAGCTTGGTAGAGCGGAGACTTTTTCAGAGTGGTTTGGAGAATTGTAACTGAACAGTCTCTGATCACTCTCCTTGCAAGTAAATCATACTAAAATTATCTGTGTCTTCCTTTGTACAGGTTACTGCATAAAATGTTTGGTGTTTAAACCTAACATTAATTGGTCCTTCGAGCCGGATTGCAAGATACCCGACGACCCCCAGCAGGTAAGTGAGACCCAGATAAGCCTGCGGCCGCAGCAAAGAGACCCTTTACGGGACTGGTCTCTCCCTTACAGGCTGGGGTCCGACGGTTGAAGCATTTCGAGGACGCAGAGAATTGTGAGTAGTTTTTCTTTTAATAAGGAGTGAGTGAATTATTGGAAGAAAAATATATAAAAATATAAAAAATTTATAAAAATATAATAATATAAAAAAAAAAAAAAAGATCGAAGTGAAGGGCGTGGGGTCACGAGATTCCCCTTTTGAAGTCCTCTCAGCGTGGGGTCACGAGATTCCCCTTTTGTACTAAAACCCTGACAATTCTAGACTCTATCAGGTAAAACAGAAATTTTAAAACAGTTAAAGTCCGCGGGAGGGCAGGCTCCCCTAGTTTGTAAGGGCAGGTTCCCCGAGTTGTAAACTAGTTAAATTCTGCATAGGATAGCGGCGTCCTCTGTGTTTAAAATAAGGTAAAAGTTAACTGCGCAGTGTGTGTGTGTGAGTGTGTGTGTGAAAGGAAATATAGATATCACTAGATATCTGTATTTCATACCAAAAAGACAAGGGTTAAATGGTGAGCTTTTGTGGATGTTTGTAGACAAGAAAACTCCACCTGTAAAGGTTGAAGTGAGTTTTACCACAAAAAGTAGTTGATCACCATCTTGTCTGAAGCCCCAGTGTTTAGAACACGACAGGTGTTAAAAACCCACTGGGCCCAAATTTAGTTAAAAATGGGAAAAGGGCAAAGTAAAGAAAAACAGAAGTTATTAGAGAAACTCCAGTGCAAAGATTGGAAAGCAGTCGAAAATGATGACCCATCAGCGTTAGAGCCATTGTGTCACTGGATAAAAAACTACGGTTTTAATGGCAAATTGAGCACCACAAACATAAAAGATTTGCAACAAAAAATAAAAACAAAAAGCAAAAATAAAGACACTTTGATGGCAAAAGAAGGTTACATGCAAACCATGGTCTGGATGAAATTGGCAGGTCAGAGAGAAGAGGGAGAGCGCAGAGTTAAGAGAGAGAGAGAGGAGAGACAAAGAAAAGAGAAAGAAGAGGAAGAAAGGGAAAGTGAAGAGAGAAAAAAGAAAAAGGAAAGATCAGTTATGTTTCATAGAAAGGAGGATGATGAGTACGCAGGGCCCTATTCTAACCTGATACATCAAATACATAATCTCCCACCAATTGGAGGTGCTGCCGCTGCAGCCGATCCCTCAGCTCTCTCACCCACGGGGGATCCTCCACGATATACTCCCCCACAACATGTAGAAGCACCATTGAAAATAGCCCCTCCTCAAGTAGCTTCTCCACAAGCTGATACCTCCCAGGGATATATTACTAGGTCCAAAGGTTCTGTAGGAGATTGGTCAAAAACTTTAGCGACAACATTTAATGACATTCTGTCTCCACGGACACCCCGAGTGATGCCTGTGAACCTGGAAGGTGAAGGAGCAGTCCTCACGCTTCCTTTAATAGAATTACCAAACCCCTTAGCAGGCCAGGTTGAGGGGAATGCCCAACAACCAGCCACAGTAATGGTATACAGAACCTGGACACAGGAAGATGTTAGAAAAGCAGTAGAAGGAATTCCCTCTCCAAAGAAGGATGTGGAAGAATGTATAATTCAAGAATGGGTAAATCGTCACCACATAGAGATGAGTGGTGCAACACTCCAAAAGTATATAAATCACGCCCTGCATGCAGAGAAAGTCATAAAAAGTAAAAAGAATAAAAATAAAGATTCCACTGTGTTTTATCAGGAGGAAGAGGACACTGTGTTTTATCAGCAGTCCGGAGGTAGGGGCCGAGGCCGTGTAAGGGGAAGGGATTTTGGATCACGCTCAACTGATAATTCCAGAGCGTGTTGGTCATGTGGAAAAAAAAGGCCACATAGCTAGACACTGTCAAAGTAAACCACAAAAGCAGGAAGCTCAGCATGACTAGATGAGCAACCATTTTCTATTAGAGAGATAGAGGGTGAAAAAATGGATGTCTTAAATCTAGAAGATTTGTTTTTTAAAAGAAACATATAGACCAGAAATAGTTCTGATGGTCCAGGGCACTCCTGTTAAATTTTGTGTGATACAGGAGCCTGCAGAACCACAATAAAAGAACCCATACCCTTGCACATACCCATCGTAAAGATGATTTACCTGTAGGTCCATATTCAGCATTATTACAGCAAGCACAAGCAGCTTTACAGCAAGACCCAAATGAACTTGGTGCTGCTGCTGCTTCTGCTTCAGCCCCAGTCTTGCCAGCTCCTAAAGTTGAGAATCTACCGGCTTATTCTCCTATGCCCAGCACCTCCACAAGGGTT